ACTCACGGTCTCATCTACCGTCACACAGTACCTCGGCCTCAACATCCGGGAAGAGGAAGACGCTATCTACCTCAGCGCCGCGAAATACGCCGACACCATCGCCAAGCGTTTCGCACTCACACCGACTATCATCTCCATACCGTACCACTACACGACAGTAAACAACAAGGAAGGCTCCGCTCTACTCAAGCCCGACGGCATACGCGACTACCAGAGAAAGCTGGGCTGCCTTCTCTTCGCAGCTGTCACCTGCCGCCCAGATCTATCCTACTCTGCAAGCCAGCTCGCCACCCACCTCAAGAAGCCTGAAGCGGAACATCTGGCGGAGCTCGACCGCACTCTTCACTACCTTGTCAGTACCCCGACGGTCGGCCTGACTTACCATAAGAACGCAACTACAACGCCTAAGCTAATCGGTTACGTCGACGCAGATCACGCGGGCGACTCCGACAACAGACGATCGCGCACCGGCTACATCTACCGCTTCGAGCCTATCGGACCTATCTCCTGGCAATCGAGCAAGCAGGAATTAATTGCTCTCTCGTCAGCTGAAGCAGAATATATTGCACTCTGCTCAGCCACCAAGGAAGGACTCTATCTTCGCGAGCTGCTGGAAGAAGCGAAGTTAGCCGAGTTACCCAACTTTACCCTGTTCTGCGACAACCAATCGGCAATTCGCATCGCCAACAAGAACGGCTTCGCGAACAGGACGAAACACATCGCCCTGCGATATTTCTTCGTGAAGGACGAGATCGAGAAGGGAAGGCTCGAGCTGTCATACTGCCCCACGTCCGAGATGGCAGCTGACTACCTGACCAAGAAGCTCGGAAAGCAGAAGTTCGAATACTGCATGCTGCTGACTGGACAGAGCCACGTCAGCGACACTCCAGAAGCGAAGGGGAGTGTTGGAAACAATCGGTCCTAAGCGCTTCTGTCGTGTCGAAACACTAAGGCACAAGCGAAGCAAAGCATACCGAGGCACCAGCGAGTCAACCCTCGGAGGTTGAAGTAACCGCTGGAGGTTACGCGAAAGTCAAAGGTCAGCGACCTTTGACCTGACAAGTACAGCGCGACAGCAAGGACACACAACTGACTCGCTACAGAGCAGTTGCCCGAGTCGTCACTGTATCGAACCGCAACAGCAACAAGTAAAACAGTTGTAACCGTATCCTTTCATATTCCTTGTACTCCTATATAATCTTGTATCTCTTTGTTTTAATCAACTTACTTTGCCCTCACATACTAGCGCAAGGTGGTTCACAACTCTTTATTAACGCTTCCGCTACTACACCAACTCTACCCAGAGTTCACCCCTGCAAAGATCCTAAGGGCTTTTTTCAGCCTAACAGCAGGCAGCATGTTGTGTGCCAGGAATCAAGATTAGAGACATATCTGTTCAAGGGCAATCCTGACCAGTTCCCAAACCTCGCTGAATACGGTATAATTTCACTTGTTTCTCTGCTTATCTTTCCTGGTAGAAAGTCTGTGGTTCCAAGTCTGCTAATGATTAAGAAATAGGCGGTTAGGTTTGGATACTGATGTCATATTGGCCAGCACAAACAGCTTATAATATATCTGTACAAGAACAGGCCACTCAGAACTTGCTAATGCTGCTCGAGTGGAGCAGTGACACTTAAATTAGATAACTCCAAAAAGATTATTAAACCTACAAGCGAAGGCGCCCTTCGCTGCTTTGCTCTTATTCAACAACCCACCCCCACCACAGCCAGTTTCCCATTCGAAGCGCGAGTCGCGCAAACCTAATAGGTCCAATCGCTGGGAAGGTTAACAGCGGGAGCAGCGACACCAGCAGCAGCAGCTGCGCGGGCCCGGGACCTGCCTCCCTTACCGCCCTTCCTGCCACTCCCCGCAAGCATCTCCTCGGGGGCAAGCTTGATAACGGGGGCGGCGCGCACACCTGCGCATCCGCCACCGCGCTTCGGGCCCGGAGCGGCAGGCTTCGCGGCGGCGGGCCCGGAAGCGGGGGCAGCGCCTCCAGGAGCGGCGCGGTTAAGAAGGACGTTGTTATTCTCGTCGACATCGAGGCCGAACACGTGCACGAGGCGTGCGGGAAGGTACACTGTTGCGCCAGGACGCTGGGACTTGCGCCCGGCGTTGCTGGTATCGGCGGAAGGCTTGGCGGAAGCGGGGGCGGGGGCAGCACGGGGAAGGAAGACGCCAGTGCCGTTGCCGAGCGCCTGCGCCTTGCGCGAATCCGTCTCGCATTCCGATACGCGGCGGAGTGGGGAGCCCTTGGCGACCTGCGCGCCGTTGTGGTTGTTGCGCCTGTGGGGCTGTTGTCCCACGCGCCTGTTATTCCCCTGTTGCTGCGCCATCTGATGGTTGTTCGCATGCTGGCGGTTGCCGTTGTGGTTCATCTGCGGAGCGCCGTACGCGGGCGCCTGGTGCATGTGGCGGGAGGCGGGTACGAACGGCTGGGCGGCTGCGCGCGGGGGACCGGCGCAGGCGGGCTTAGCAGGCTCGGGCTCTAGCGCGAGCTCCTGAATTCTACCCGCTGCGGCAAAGAGCAACTCCCAGGCCTCCGCGTTGGCGTTCTGGCCCAACACCGACGTCGGGGAACCGCTGCGGGGAGGCGAGGTGAGGGAGGAAGTGGAGGAGGTGGTGGAGACGGAGGACTGCGACCAGAGACGGGAGGAGAGGCTGGACGTGCGCGAGACGGAAGGCGAGGAGGAAAGCGAGCTCGAGGGGCTGGAGCCGCGGTTGCTGTGGCTGGCGATGCTGGCGCTAGAGTGGCTGTGCGCCATGCCGAGCGCGCGGGAATGGTAGGTCATGGCGTCGGGGTGGTGCGGCGCAGGGTAGTGGCCGTTAGGGATGGAGTAGGAATGGCGGCTAGCGATGTCGCTAGAGGCGTCGCTCGAGTCGGAATCGTCGTCGTCGGCGATGCACGACTGTGCGACCCACTCGGCGATGGACCCCTCGTCGCCCTCCGCAGCGGGCGCCTCTGGCTCGTCGACGAGCCACGTGGGGAGACTAAGGTCGTTGGAGGAGGGGATGGAGGAGATGGATTGAGGCGATTGCCATGCGTTGGGGAAGGATGCTACCGGCGCAACGAAAGCCGAAGTCATACCGAAGGCGTTCATGTTGTACTCCATTGGTGCTAAGAGACGGAATTGGACTTAGACTGAAGGAAGGCGGCTGACCGCGTGGGGACTGGCGAAGTGCTTGAGGCTGAATTGATTGCAAGGTCCAGAAACTCAGGTGGGAGTTGATTGCAAGGATTTCCACTTCACTCAGATGCTTTTGTGGTTGGATTGATGTCAGTTTGGGGTTCAGTTGAGAGAGAATTGGTGATGAGTGGACGATGGATCCACTGGTTCTTGTACTAGTCACTTTCTCCCCCCAAGCACACGACAAGATGTGGGTGCGGCGCGACCGAAGCGCCAATCGTTCAGGAGGACTGTTTGAGAACGAAAACATTCGCTGCTGCCTGACCTAGCCGAAGCGCATGGAGGATGGGCCTACCTGACTGTTCTGACCTAGCGAAGAAATCCCAAGGAGCTGCAGTGCCGCAATCAAGCGCAGGTGCGCAGGGGGATCTCCGTATCATGTGCTCGGGGAAACCATTCAATCCCAGGACCTGCCTGCGGCTCCGGATTTCCATTTCTCTGATATTGCTGTTCAGCGGAAGCTTCGGAACGGCCCTGAAGGGGTCCGTCAGAGCAAAATGAAAGGATGCTCGGAAATACCACCTGCGCCTCGTTACGGAGCACTTTATGATTTCCCCAACATCTGCAAACCAACCTGAAGTGGTGCCGCAGGAAGACATCCGGTTTTCATGTTTCATCCAAAATTCCATCGAGGGCTGCTAGGTCAGCGGAACAATCATGACGCGAAGGCAAAGGGAGAGTCACTATAGGGCGGCAGCATTGCCGACCTGATTGGTTCCAAACATAGCGGCCAGGCATCAGGATGACGCTCAGGGTGGCAAGAACTTTCCAACTTTTCGATTTTCTATAACGAATAAGAGCACAGTGCAATCACATCTACAATGTCTTCTAAGAGCCAAAGTCTCACGGAGTGTTGTTTTGATCAAAACATTGAAAGTAATATAAACGTCTTAGCATACATTCACAACACAAAAAATAACATGTTTATGAATTAATGAGTGTTATAAATTCAGCATGACAGTTTCCTGAGGATCAAAATTAAGAACCCGCCTCATTGTCATGCATTAATTAGCACTTTCTTTTTTCGCTTAGAGTCATTGTTTACACGAATCACTTACTAGAGTGGTGAAGTGGAGTTCGACCAGCAAGCATACTTCGCGCAACTTTCCATGATCCACTTTCTCACGGCGTACTGATGTCGGGCGTCAAAATCACCCGTATGCGGGTCTCGTGTCGTGTGGCCGACAAGTATACGGCTCGCTGGAGCAAACTGGTGCCAGTGCCCTGGGCTTTTGTTCCGCTGGCACAAACGCGCAAATCCCAACTCAACCAATCCCGAGACACCAATAATTGGTTTCATTTCGAGGACTTCTCCAGGAATTTCAATCCCAACACCAATAATTCGGAGAAATCCATGGCTACTATTTCAACATTCCTCGCCTTGACAAATCACACAACGTTTGCCTTCTAGGCAGTCTCTCCTGCTTGTTTCGCACCCTTTTAGTTGTGCTGCCGCCGCGACCACGTGTTACTGTTTCACGAGTTTTTTGCTTCTTGATTTGGTCGCGATCGAGCAGGGAACATCCACCCAAGCACGAAACAATAATGGATCGCAGGCGCCGCTGGGGACCGAGAGCGAGTATTACGCCGGCCGCTTCTCGAGAAACCGCTGCCACGTGTCTACAATCGCCATCGTTCAAACGCCCCGCGCATAAGTTACATTCGCTATTCACCGCTGGGCTCCTGGCTGCCGTCGCGTGGTCCGCATTGGTTCATCGCGCGTCGGCACAAGCATCGTACAGAGTTCCGACGTTAGGATTCTGTTGGGGCCGCGTGGCGCACCAACCTATACCTCCGGAACTCGTTGTCGACATGCTCGAGGTGAGCCTTCCACACCATGCCTCGTGCTTCCGCTTATGATCCCCCATTGCCTCGTGATGCATCGTCATGCCTAACACGTACCGTGTGGCAATAAATGAATTCCAACAAACAGCTGGATTTTTATCACAACGTTGTCGCATAGTGTGCCCTGAAGACTTTTCGACCATGGACATTCTTGTGCATATTCTGCCCATGCCGCTTCAATAATACAGTCGCAGCAATACAAAACAAGTCACAGTAATTCACACACACAATATTCTCCGAAACTCCGCTCGCATGCCCCTCGCGCCCCTCCGACCTCCCACCTCGCCCCTTCTTCCGATTCCCTTTCCCGGCCTCCCCTCCCAAAACCCTCCCAAGCCCCCTTCCCTGCGGCAACGTCATCCCCTTTCCTCCTCCCTTACCCTCCTCCCCCCCCTTTCCCCAACCCCCACACCTCCCGCTCCCCCTTCCCTTACTCCGGTTTCCCCGCACCCCGCGCGCGCGTTCCCACGCGAGCAGGCGAACGGCGTGTCGAAGGTGAAGCTGTTCGACGCGGATCCGAACGCGCTGACGGCGCTGGCGAACTCGGACGTGGAGGTGATGGTGATGGTGCGCAACGAGTTCCTCGAGGGCATGGCCATCAAGCAGGAGAACGCCGACAACTGGGTCTACAACAATTTGCTCGACATCCTCCCCACCGGCGTCAAGATCACGTGAGTGCAGTTTGCGCGCGCGCGCGAGAGGGGGGAGCTCTGAGACGCCTCACAAATCCTCAAAAGTCGGTTTTATGCTGCACCTTACAGTGTCTCGCGAATGAGTCTAGAACAACCTGCTCGACGTCCTCCCCACCGGCGTCAAGATCACGTGAGTGCGCGGCGGGGGTGGATGGGGAGGGGGAGAGAGGGATGTGGGGGATGGGAAGGAGTAGGTTGCGGGGGAGCGGTAGGTGCGCAGAAGCTGGGGGAAAAGCGGGGGATGGGGGTATAGAGTTTAATGGCGGCGCTCACGTTACAGAAGTTTGAGGAGGCGAATGAAAGTGTTTTGGGGGGCTAGTTGCGCCCCTGTCGCCCCCTTCACCGCCATCCTCACCCCTTCCCCATCCATGTTTCGAAAACCTCAAAAATCGCCCCTGTTGCACCGCTGTCCTCACCCCACCCACATCCAATCCCCACCCAAACCCTGTCCTACCCTCATCCCCCGTCTCTACCTCTTCCCACTCTCTCTCCTCCACCTCTCCGCACCATCCCCCCCACGTCCGCCCCATCCTCCCCCCTCCGCCCCGGCCCGTCCCTGCACACGCACAGATCTGTGTCGGTGGGCAACGAGCCGTTCCTCAAGTCGCGGCACGACTTTGACAAGTTCCTGGCGCCAGCCGTGGCAAACATGTACCGGGCGCTCCAGAAAGTGGAGCTAGACCAGCGCATCAAGATCACCGTCTCCTTCAACACGGACATCATCAAACCCGAGGACGACCCCGCCCTGGGCGAGTTCCAGGACGTGTGGGTGGAGCAGATTAAAGCCATTGCTAAGGTTATCAACGAGACGGGATCATTCTTTTCTGTGAACATCTACCCGTTTTTTTCGTACAAGGACACGCCGCAGATCGACAAGAATTTCATCTGGTTCGATAACCCCGGGCAGGGGTGCGTGGGGTTTGGCAACAAGACCAAGACGCAGTACTGTAACATCATGGACGCGTCGCTCGATGGCGTGATCTACGCGCTGGAACGAATCGGTTACCCCAATGTGAGACCAGGGATGGTGGATGGGGGCGGGAGGGGGAGCGAGCGAGGGAGGGAGGGAGGGAGGGAGGGAGGGAGGGAGGGAGGGAGGGAGGGGTGTAGCAGACGGTGACATGAATCTGGAGCTACTTTCTTGCTACTATCTTTCATGAATCTGGACGAAGACACTCTTCGTTTCAACTCTCCACCTCTTCCTTCGTTTCTTTGTTCCCTCCTCACTACGTTTTCTCCTCTCCCCACATCCCACCACGGACACAAAGCCAGCCCTTCTCCCCTTCGCCCACGTGCATCTGCTGCAACATGCACACAGTCGCCATGACCCCAACCCTTGACACCTCCACGTCCCTACAGCTGAACCCCCTCCCTTCCTCTCCACCTTCTCCCTCCCCTTCCTCTTCCCCTTCCCGCTCCCCTTTCCCCTTCCCGTTCCCCACTCCCTCCTTTCCCACTCCTTTCCCCTCCAGATGGAGGTGGTAATCGGGGAGGCAGGCTGGCCGAGCGACGGCCATCCCAATGCCACACTAGCACTCGCCCAATCCTACAACAATGGGCTCCTGCGCCACATGCTCTCCGGCAAGGGCACGCCGCACCGCCCGAACCGCCTCTTCACCTTCTACGTCTTCGACCTCTTCGACCAGGACGCCAAGAGCACCGCTCCCGGCCCCTTCGAGCGCCGCTGGGGCGTTTATGACGACTACGGCCGCGCGAAATACCCGCTGGATCTGTCCGGGGGGAAAGGTTGGAAGCTCGCTCCGATCCCGAATGTTGTGCGGCTGCGCAATCGCTGGTGCCTGGCGAACCAGGCGCTGTACTCGGAGAAGGGCGCGAGTGCCCCGGTGGTGGACGCGCAGTTCTCGTCGAAGATCTCCACGGCTTGCGGGAAGAGCGACGCGGGGGATTTCGCGGATAAGGCGGACTGCACGCCGCTGATGATGCGGCTGTCCACTCCCGGGCTGCAGTGCGCTGCTAAAGGCGCCAGCCAGACTCTGCTAGCCAACGCCTCGTATGTGCTGAACGCGGTGTATCAACTGTCAGGGCAGCAGGAGGCTGTGTGCACGGATGAGGGGTTGGGAGTGGTTGTGACTGACCAGGACCCGTCGACGGGTAGTACTGGGGGGAATGACAATTGTACGTATGAGCTGGGACTGGATGTGGACGCGATGAAGGCGTATACCCAGCCCAGTAAGGCGTTCTCATGGAAGGTTCTGGGGTATATTGTGGCGCTGGTGCTCGTGCTGGCGAATATGCTGTGAGGGGAGAGGGGAAAGGGGAAGGGGAGAGGGGAATGGAACACAAGGGAAGTGAGGGGAAGGCAGAGGGAGGGATCAGGTAACCAAGGTGGCAGGGGGTGACATGCCTTGGCACTTATTTGTGTATCTTGGGCTCACTCCGCTTTGTTCCCTCCCATCAAGCGATCCACGAAACACACCTCCTTCGCCTCTGTTCTTAGGGTACATTCCTGTGGAGACACAAATGTCTCAATCGCTTTGTGACACACAAAAACAGCATAAACTGTAGTGTGTCCCAATTGCGAGTCGCATTTCCGCGACCATTACTGTGTTTTTTATTGGTCAGCGTGAAACGCGCTGACGTCGCTGACGAATTGTAATCTGACTCGTCAATGTGAAAAAATCGCACGCTGCTCGAAATGTCAATGCACCTGGACAGCCTGCAATGCCAATTTCGTGCGGGAAAAAATCCCGCTCGTCGAAACCACACCCCAGCCAAGCGGTTGAAAAAAGGGATGTACAGTCATTTGTGTCACCCAAACAAATGCGCACAACTGTACATCTCGCCTGGTCGCCTAGAGTCGCGATACATTGGTTGTTTGTGACACAACATTTGGCAAATTTACAGGCGCGACTCGGGAAATCGGGGATTGAGACACAAGTGTCCCCGCAGGAATGCACCCTTAGCAGGGCTGTTACCAGTGCTTGCTAGTGTAGCTGTAGTGGGTTTATAGACAGGGTTTGGGGTTCAGTCAGTTCAGTGTTTAGGGAGTGGTTAGCACTAATCAGTATCTCCGGACTGGATTGGACTGTCTGTTTGGTACGTGCAGCAGAACGGTAGCTACCAGTAGATTGCATGCAGTGTTCCAGTCACCATCAACCAACACAACACTTGTTAGGGATTCAGACAAAGACTGCTGTCCTCAACTCTAACAAGTCTTCTTCGCTATGTAAGCAGCAAGTAAGCTGTTAAATCGCAACCACATCTCAGCAAGTAAACGGAGAGATTTATTTCGAACACCCAGACCAGCACCCCCCCTCCCCCCTGCCAACCCAGCATGCGTCATCCAAGGTCATGTCATGTCAGCCCAGTTAGCTCAGCCCATGTTAGCCCCTGCTACCAGCAGCGCACCAGCCCAGCCCATGTCACCATGTGCGCGTGTTCAGTAGTGAAACCCAGAAGGAAATGCCATGTCATGCCATGCATGCAGCATGGCATGCAGGCAACCTGGCATGCTGATGGCAGCCAAGCACTGCACGAGGAGTGCACATATGCTTGCCTGCCTGCCTGAGCTCCACTCTCCCCCCTTCCCCTTTCCCCCCTCCCACCTCCTCCCTACCACCCCCACAACAACCACCACCACCATCACCACTAGACCCACAAAGCACAGTCGTAAACGCGCCATATGTATGTCCCACGACCATCCACCCCATCCACTCATCCACCCAATCCCAATTCCCCAAAGATCCCTGTGCATCAGGACGGCATGTCGAGTTTGAAGAGAACGCAGCGAGCATCCTCTGGCAGCTCAGGGTCGCCATCCCCGGGGTTCATGTTGAAGGTCATCCCCAATAGGTCCATCTGAGCCGTGGTCACCACCACTCGCATGTACGCCCCCCCCACCGCTGCTAGAGAGTCTGCTGACTGGAATGTGCGCTGCATCAGGTCCTGTTGGCGGTGGAGCCGGGGGGGATGGGGGGGCGGGGGATTGTGGGGACAGCGGGATTGGGGGACGGGGGAGTGGGGAACAGGGAAATAGGGTGACGTTGGGATAGCGGGAGTCCTCTGGCAGCTCAGGGTCGCCATCCCCGGGGTTCATGTTGAAGGTCATCCCCAATAGGTCCATCTGAGCCGTGGTCACCACCACTCGCATGTACGCCCACCCCACCGCTGCTAGAGAGTCTGCTGACTGGATCGTGCGCTGCATCAGGTCCTGTGGGAAGGGGGGAAGGGGGAGGGACGGGAGGATTGTGGGGGGGTGGGGGAAGGAGGGATAGAACACGGGGGGTGGGGAAACGGAGGTTGCGAGAGGTAAGCGAGCAAACAAGTGAACAGGCAAACAAGCGAGCGAGCTAGCAAGCAAGCGAGCGGGCAGGCAGGCAGGCAGGCAGGCAGGCAAGCGAGTCAGCAAGCACGACTCACAGATCCGGTCAGGTAAAGCTGGCCGCCCACGTCCTGCCTCTTCTCCTCAGGACACACCACCTCGCCCAGGCCACTGTTAGCCGCCACCACGCGCGCCACATACTTGCCCACACTCGCCCGCAGCCCTGCGGACGACAGCCGTATGTCCCCACCTCCGCCTACTTGCAAGGGGTTCAGCTGGAATGTTGGGATCTGGCCTTGATAGCCGTCGAAGAAGAAGGAGCAGGTGGAGGGCGAGGGGACGCAGGCGGCGGGGTCGCTTGGGGTGGATGGGGATGGGGATGATGGGGAAGGGGAAGAAGGGGTGGATGGGGATGGAGTGGAGGGGGAAGGCGCGGAGGGGGAAGGGGTGGAAGGAGAGGAAGGGGAAGGGGAGGAAGGGGAAGGGGAGGAAGGGGAAGGGGAGGAAGGGGAAGGGGCTGAGGGGGAGTCGGAGGGCGAAGGGGAAGAGGGTGGGGGGGACGGTGAGGAGGAGGGAGGGGATGGGAAGGGGGAGATAGGTGGCGAGGAGGATGGGGAGGGGGATGAAGTGGGGGGAAGGATGGGGGGGAGGATGGGCGGAGGGGCGGATTGGGAAGGGGGTTCTGCGATTGGTGGTGAGAGGGGTGAGGGGGTTGAGGAGGGGGAGTGGGGTGAGGGGAGTGAGGGGGGTAGGTTAGGGGCGGAAGGGGCAGGGGCACTGGGGGAGGCAGATGGGCCTAGAGTGGTGCCAGGTGGTGGGGGGGACGCGGGGAGGGTAGGGGGAGAAGGGGGGAAATCGGAAGGGGAAGAGGGGGAATCGGACGGGGAAAGGGAGGGGGAAGGGGAAGAAGATGGTGGGGGTTGGGGGATTTCGGGGGCTTCTGGGGAGAGTGCATTTGGGGGAGAAGAGGGGGAGGATGGAGAGGTGGTAGAAGGGGGTGCAGACGGGGAAGAGAGGGAAGATGGGGAAGAGGGGGACGAGGGAGAAGAGGGAGAAGAGGGAGAAGAGGGAGAAGAGGGGGAGGAGGGAGAAGGGAGAGAAGATGGGGGAGAGGAGGAAGAAGGGGCAGAGGGCGAGGAGGGAGTAGGGTTTGTTGTGCCAGGAGATGGTGGTGGTCCGGACGAGGGGGGAGAAGCAGGAGATGGGGAGACGGGAGATGAGGGGGAGGCTCCAGGAGGGAGGAGTGGGGAGGAGGGGGAGGAAGGGGAGGGGGGAGAGGAGGGAGATAGGGAGGGTGGAGGAGCAATGGAGGGGTTAGAAGCGCCGGGAGGTGAAGGGGGCGCTGGGGCTAGAGGTGGGCCAAGGGACGGCGGAGGGGCGATGGGAGGAGGAGGAATGACCCCCGGGGGTGAAGTTTCTCCTGAGGGGGGAGCGGTTGAGATCCCGCCAGGGGGGGGAGGAGGTGACATTCCGCCGGGGGGGAAAGGGGGTGAAACCCAGCCAGGGGGAGGAGGGGCAGTTGGGGGAGAGGCGGCGCTGCTGCCGGGGCGAGGAGGGGAGGATGATGGTGGGGGGAGCGGACTGTTGGTAGTGGGGGAGGGGGGAGGGTTGACAAGTGGAGGGGGAGGGGTGGTGGTGGAATTCGGGAAGGAAGGAGCATTAGAGGATGGTGGGGGCCGCGGACTGTTGGTAACTGGGGAGGGGGGAGAGTTGGCAGATGGGGGGGGAGGTGTGGTGGTGGTGTTTGGGGATGGAGGGGCGTTGGTGGATGGTGGGGAAGGAAGAGTGGATGTGGGAGGAGCAGGAGGAGCAGGAGGAGCAGGGGGAGGAGAAGGAGCAGGTGGAGGAGAAGGAGCGGGAGGAGGGAGTGAGTCGACAATGTCGCTGAAGCCAGTGGTGCCTGATGGGAACGAGGGAAGCGGGAGAGGAGGAAGAACGAGCGGCATGAGATATGTTCGCATACCAGCGAGAGAGAGAGAAAAAGAGAGGGAGGAAGAGAGAGCGCGGAGGGAGGGAGCGAGGAAGCAGACGCAGATGCGACGGGGGAGGAACAAGAGCCACAAAACACAGTCTTTTAAAAGATCATACTGACCTGCCTGCTAGACAGTCTTTTAAAATATCATACTGACCTGCCTGCTAGACAGTCTTTTAAAAGATCATACTGACCTGCCTGCTAGACAGTCTTTTAAAAGATCATACTGACCTGCCTGCTAGACAGTCTTTTAAAAGATCATACTGACCTGCCTGCTAGACAAAAACCCTTGCCACGTCCAGACCTGCAGGTCTTCTCATATGCTTCCCTTGCAAGCAAGCAACCGCCTGATCGAAGCCATTCCTGCATGCCTCTGTCTCCCCCCATCTCTCCCCCTTGTCCCCCCCCCGTCCCCCTCCCTGTTCCTCCCCCCTGTCCCTTCCATCTGCCCCTGAACCCCCCATTCTCCCCTTCGGTCCTTCCCTCCCACTGCCTCACACTCACAGTTGACGTCCAGCCAGGAGAGCTTGTTGGCTTCGTTGTCAAACACCATGTAGCGGTTGGTCAGCCATGAGTCTGCCGTGTGATGTGCACGCAGGAGGGAGGGAAGCATGCGGAGAGGGGATGACGGTATGGAGAGTGGGGGAGGTGGGAGGGTGGGGGGGAGGGAGGGGGACAGGAGGAGGGAGAGTGAGTGAAGGAGGTTGGAGGAAGGAGAGAGTGTGGGGGTTAGGTGGGACTGCAGGGGATTGTACGTGTGGTATGGTATCCAGTCACACTTGGTTAGGGGAGTTGCGGCTGGTTGCTACTCATCCCTGATCATACAGTAAGCCTGTGTGTTCAGGCACTCCCGATGGTGTGCTGGGTGGAATGATAAGGTGTGCGTGCACGTCTGCTAAGGGGTGCTGCTTGCTTGCTTGTGACTGCGCAGCGCAGACTCAGACAGACTGACCCGGGATGACGGTGTGCTGGTTGGTTGCTGTTGCGCGAGGGCGACTTTTGAGTCGACTCAAAAGGCACCTGGTTACAATGGCATGGCACAAGCCAGACTGGCTGAGACTGTCTGACTGACCCGGGATGATGGTGTGCTGGTTGCTGTTGAGCGAGGGCGTGATGGCGAAGCAGATCACGTCCGCACGCACCTGAGGGGGGTGAATAGGTGGAGGGGGGATACAAGGGGAGCGACGGGGGGGAGGGAGGGAGGGAGGGGGGAAGGGAGGGATGGAGGAGGGAGGGAAATTGAGAGAAAAGGCAAGAAGAGAGTTGACTGGAAAAAAAAAGAGCATAAATATGGAAACTGGAAAAGAAGTAGAAAAGGGTAACTGGAAAAAAGTAGAAAAGGGTAACTGGAAACGTAAAAAGGGTGATTGAAAAGCTGAGGTCGGAGTGGAGACTGACGAGGTAGAGGTATGCGGAGGGCTGCACGATGAATAGTGCTCCGTTGGCGAGGATGAGCGAGAGCGTGGGGAACTGGGCGAGGAAGGCGCTCTCTGTTGGCCTGCGGACAATGTGGTGACACAGAGAGAGGGCGAGAGAGGTGGGAGGTGGGAAGCGGGTGGAGATGATTTGAGGTGGGGAAGAAGAGGAGTTTGAAAGCAGGTGGGAGGATGTGTGGTTGGAGTGGAGGGAGGGAAGAAGGGCGGGGGGAGCGACAGGTCAACGTGAGGCAATGCGGGGAAAAGAACGCCGGAAGAAAGGTACAGAGAGAGTAAAACGGCAAGGGGAGGAGGAAAGGACGGCGGGAGGAAAGGACGGCGGGAGGAAAGGAAAGGGAAGAGGAGTGGGGAGGGGAGTGGAAGGACGGGGGTTAGGAGAGGAAGGGGTTTGCGGAGGGTGGAGCGTAACTGAGCGTAGGCGGAGGCGTTGAGGCAGTCGACTCCCTGCTGGTCGCTGAGAGTATAGTCGTACTTCAACCCTGGCACCGCCACCAGGTACTGCTCCCCAGCCGGGGGTGGAGGGGAAAAAGGGGGTACAAAGTGCGCGTGCATTTATTTGAGACCAATCAGAAAGGCAGTCGACTGCCTGCTGGTCGCTGAGAGTATAGTCGTACTTCAGACACCGCAGGCCCGGCACCGCCACCAGGTACTGCTCCCCAGCCGTGCGAGTGGGTGGGTGGGTGGGTGGGTGGGTGGGCACACGGGGGTGGAGGGGAAGAAGGGGGTACAAATTGCGCGAGCAAATTTGTGAGACCAATTAGAAAGGAAGGCAGTTGATTCCTTGCTGGTCGCTGAGAGTACGGTCCTACTTCAGGTGCTGGTTGCTGGTCCGGCACCGCCACCTGGTACTGCTTCCCTCCGCGCACGTGTTAGTGGTTCATGCCATGCGGGCACACGGGGGGTGAAGGGAACGCCTTTTGAGACGTCTCAAAGCTCCATGCAAGGACCGGCACTGCCACCAGGTACTGCTCTGCTCCCCCCACGCACATGTTAGTGAGGCATGCCATGCGGGCACACACGGGGGGGGGTGAAGGGAACTACTTTTGAGACGTGTCAAAGGTACTTGCAAGGTCCTTGCAAGGACCGGCACCGCCAGGGTTAAGGGTTCTGCTCCCCCCGCGCACATGTTAGTGAGGCATGCCATGCCATGCGGGCACACACGGGGGGGGTGAAGGGAACGAAGGGGGTGCAAGGCGTGCATGCAGTGCGGAGGTTGAGTTGGGCGAGGGGGTAAAGGGGCGAAGGCGAAAGGGTGAAGGTTTTCACCCGAGCGGCCACGGCCTGTCACACCTGCGGCCACGGCCTGTCACAACTGGTCTGTTGTTTTCATTTCACCTGAGTGGCCATGGCCTGGCATGCCTGCGTGGGCAGCACAGTGATGGAGGCGGAGGAGCCGAGAACAGTGCCGCCGTGCCACCGTTGCCAGAGGCGTCCAGGGGCGTCCAGGGGCGTTTCTTTCTTGTCCAGGCCAGGGACGTCTCAAAGGGCTTGTCTATTGTGCTCCGCTCACCTGGGTGGCCATGGCTTGGTATGCCTGCGTGGGCAGCACAGTGATGGAAGCGGAGGAGTCAAGAACGGTGCCGCCGTTGCCAGAGGCGTCCAGGGGCGGGAAGGCGGAGCGTGGCAAGGCGAGCGTTGCGTTCCCCACTGCCATGCCCGTCACGTTTATGAAGTAGAAGGGCCTGCATGGGGGGGAGCGAGGGGAAGGAGAGGCGTGGGAGGGGAGAGGGGAGAACGGGTTGAGAAAAAGTGCACAAGACGTTTAAAAAAGGGCCTGCACGCCCCGCTGCCATGCCCGAGACGTTGATGAAGTAGAAGGGCCTGGGATGGGATGGGATGGGATGGGATGGGATGGGATGGGATGGGATGGGATGGGATGGGATGGGATGGGATGGGATGGGATGGGATGGGATGGGATGGGATGGGATGGGATGGGATGGGATGGGAGTGGGATGGGAGTGGGATGGGATGGGATGGGATGGGATGGGATGGGATGGGCGGGGATGGGAGTGGGGAGAGAACGAGGGGGTTAAGTTTGACAAGAGGGTGAAATGATCTTCTATTGACAAGAAATACAGCTGCTCCTGATTGAGATGATTCACTCAGGCACCCTCTCAGCCATCCTCGCACCCACCGGCACTCTCATCCACCCTTACACCCCTCATCTCATCTCATCTCATCTCATCTCATCTCATCTCATCTCATCTCATCTCATCTCATCTCATCTCGTACCCCAACCCCTCCCTCCATCCCTCCCCAGCTTGAATGCCTGCCAACTCACTCAAAGTCGCTGGACACAATGGGGGTTGACTGCGCGCCAGCAGGCACGCCTTTCACGCCCATCAGCAGCTTCCCCGCGCCTACTCCCACACCCCCCGCATCTGCCCCCGCACTCCCCCCCCCAGCAGCAGCAGCAGCCGCAGAAGCGGCAAAGGCAGTGACGCGTGCGCCCGGATCGCCCTCCATGCAGAGCGAGAAGGCGTTGCTCATGGCGCCCTGCGCTGACAGCTGCGAGAGAGGCGACAGCGCCCCCCGCCCCATGCCAAACACGCCGTTGGGGGCCGCGCTCCTGCCGGATAGGAAACCGGTCTGGTACCGCCCGCACCTGGTGGTGCCGTGGGGTGGGGTGCAGTGGGGTGGGGTGTGGTCGGATGAGATGGGATGGGATGGGATGGGATAAGGCATGCCCCTCAGGTGGGGGAGCGCGTGTGGGGTGGGGTGGTGATGTGGTGGGGAAAGCGCACAGCAAGACAGCAAGGCCTGGCATCTCAACTCAACTCAGCTTAGAGCCAACCAACCTCGATGCAGCAGCAGAGCAGCAGCAGACCCACCCAGTCACTCCCCCTCATCCCATCCATCCACTCATCCACTCATCCACTCCCTCTCACCCTCTCCCCCATTGCCATCACTCCCTCCCCCTCCCAACCACCAAGCACTCCCAAGCTAGCAGCACCGCTCGCCTCACCCGCAGGTCACGTTGGCAGCAGAGCTGCTACCCTTGGAAACAGCAGCGTGCAGGGCATCTCGGAGCAGGTTCCCCACGCTCCCAGCCTTCCTCAGGCCCCGAGTAGGTAGCCGCGTACTGGCACAGCGGGTCGGGCACTGGCAACGCGGAGGGCACGCCTCTGGACTCCTGCTCTCTTCCTCCCTCCCTCCGCCGCCACCACCCTCCCAACAACCATCACCACTCCCAGCCACCCACCACACTGTCTCCAATCACCGCACTCACCTAAAGCCACCACACCCTCTCAACCACCATCCCTCCCTCCCAAGCAAGCACTCCGCCTCACCCGAAGGTCACATTTGCAGCAGAGCTGCTACCCTTAGAAACAGCAGCGTGCAGGGCATCTTGGAGCAGGTTCCCCACGCTGCCTCCCTCGGGGCCCGTGTAGGTGGCCGCGTACTGGCACAGCGGGTCGGGCGCTGGCAGCGCGGAGGAGACGAGGCAGCCCACGGAGGCCGTCTTGTCCTGTGCGGCGAAGGACGTGCACGCGGGCGAGAAGCAGTAGTTGGACTGGGAGGTCGCTGAGAGGGCCGGATTGTACGGGGGTTGCACGGGCTGGTGATGGGTGGGGGTGAGAGTGGGGATGGCAGGGGGGGAGGTATGGGGGAAGGGAAGAGAGGCGGTGAGGAATGAGAGGAGGGTACGTGATGAGCACTGAGCACAGGAGAGAGTGAAACGCGTCTCTCTTCCCCCCTCTCCCCCTCTTCCCCTGTCACCCTCTCCCCTACTCCTGCTCTTTCCCCTCCCTTTCCCTCTCCCCTCTCCGTGCCATCACGCACCACGCCAGGCATGGAGCTCTGGGTAGCGCACTGGATACAGTTGCCAGGGGACCAAGGGCATCGACGCCTCTCTCTCTCTCTCCAACAGTCCTTGTCTACTCGACCCCTCCCCCCCCACCCCTCTCTCTCCCCCTCTCCCTCTCCATGCGCACACAACACGCCGCGTGTGTGTGTGTGTGTGTGTGTGTGTGTGTGGGTGGGTGGGTGCTCACGCGCGCGTGTGTGTGACTCTCTCCTCTACCCTCTCTCTCCCCCCACACACGCACCACGCCGGGCACGGAGCTCTGGGTGGCGCACTGGATGGAAACAGTTGGTGTGGGAGCAAGGTGGGAGCAACGCAGTGACTTTTGAGCCGACTCAAAAGTCAGCTTTCCCCCCTCTCTCCCCCCCTCTCCCCCTCTCCCCCCACGCACGCACCACGCCGGGCACGGAGCTCTGGGTGGCGCACTGGATGCAGTTGCAGGGCAGCCAGAAGAGGTCGGACGCCGTGTCCACCAGCACTATGAACCGCTGCTTGCTCGCCCCCACTCGCACCTCCGTCAGGAAGGGGCTGGGCGGATGGGGGGGGAAGGAACACCGGAGCGAATGGAGGGGATGGGGCACGGGGGATGGGGGGTGGGGTAGAGGGGATGAGGGATGGGGCATGGAGCATGGGGCACGGAGGAAGGTGCAAGGAGGATCGGGGGACGGGGCATGGGGGGTGGGGCGTGGCGCACTGGATGCAGTTGCAGGGCAGCCAGAAGAGGTCGGACGCCGTGTCCACCAGCACTATGAACCGCTGCTTGCTCGCTCCCACCCCCACCCGCACCTCCGTCAGGAAGGGGCTGGGGGGATGGGAAACACGGGGGGAACATGGGGGAGAATGGAGGGCATGGGGGATGGACGACGGCGGATAGGGAAAAACGGATGGGGAATGGGGGGAATGGGGAAGGGGTGATCGGGTAAGAGGGGTGGTGGGACAACAAGTGGAAGAGGTGTAGGCTGGAGCGATGGGAGGTGGGGGAGTGAATGCAGTTGTGCAGGGCAGGGGAGCATTGGTGCTGCTTGCTTGCTACTTGCTTGCTGCTTGCTTGCTACTTGCTTGCTGCTTGCTTGCTACTTGCTTGCTGCTTGCTTGCTACTTGCTTGCTACTTGCTCGGACGTGACCAGTGTGTGCCTGTGCTCTAGCAGTAACACGCCACGCCACGCCACGCCACGTCACGTCACGCCACGTCACGCCACGCCACGCCACGCCACGCCACGCCATGCCACGCCATGCCACGCCATGGAACGAATCAGATCCCTTACCTGCCATTAGTGGACACTGTCTGCATGGTGCCATTGAACGGTTCCACGCGGGTGCGCACAACCGGGGCACTCTCTGTCCCTGACACTGTCCCTGTCCCTGTCCCTGCTGCTGCGGCTGTGCTTGTGCTAATGCTCGATGGTCGCGGTCCGGTAGACCAGAGGAAGGATGTGGACTCGGAGGGGAGGCGGAAGTGGGAAGGGGTGGAGTGGCGGCTGAAGGGGGAACCGTCGTGCTGCAAAGAGGGGGGAGAGGGGAGGAAGAGCGGCGAGAGGTGAGGGGTGGGGGGAGGGAGAGTTGAGGGGGGAAGGCAGAGTGACGAAAGAGAGGGAGGAGAGGGAAAGGGGAGTTTGAAAACCAGAACACAATCTCTGTCAGTCATGCCGCATGCTGCATGCTGCATGCTGCACGCTGCACGCTGCACGCACGCCTCGCTTGCATGGATGGGGCACGAACGACCTCATGTGCTGCTGTGTGTACATATGTGCACGCAGTGCAGACCGGCGCAGAGCAGAGAAGCACACTGTGTGTTTCCTCTCACCTGCTGCTGCTGCAGGCCTGGCCGGACCGACAAAGTACCTCAAGGTTCCCTTCATGCCTGCATTATCGGTATTGGTATTTTCAGATTGTTTGTCTCACAAGCAAGTTCAACGTAGACTTAGTTTTATAGATCGTTCCTAATCTCTTAGAAGGCTTGCAGCGGATCGAAACCAGCTGATTTCAACCATGCCTGCATTATCGGTATTGGTATTTTCAGATTGTTTGTCGCGCAAGCAAGTTCAATGCACCTGATCTCCTCTCACCGGCTGCTGCTGCTGCTGTGAGCTTGCACCATCAAAGAAGCTCAGGGTGTCTTGCATGCCTGCATTCGCCACTCCCCTGCTGCCGTCCCGACCCTCCCTGCCACTCTCTTTCACGTCCCTGAGAGTCTCTTCGCGTGGAAACTGCACGCCGAACCAAAGGACACGAGTGCAAGAGAGAGAGCGGCAAGACAAGTGAGAGGTGCTGACCGAATTTTGAGGCGCCTCCAAAGAATGACCGCACGCCAAGGACAGAGATGAAAGAGAGAGGGAACAGGACAAGTGAGATGCGTTGCGTTGGCTAACGCCTCAGCAGCTGAGCGCACACAAACATTCCTTGTTTCTTTCTTTTCTTTCCGTTTTCGGAATGAGATCCGCGTCTGCTTACTGACCCTCCATTCTTCGCCCTCCATACCCACGGCCTCCATACCCGTTCATGAAGCGCCTAATGAATAGACTCTCCATTCTTTGCCCTCCATACTCACGGCCTCCATACCCATGCCGCCCATTCTCCCCTTTCCTGCCCTCCTCCCTGCGCAGCGCTCACCTTTTTTCTCCGCCTGCTCCACCCTCCCACAGCCCATGCCGCCCTCCACACCTCACTGCCTGCTTCCTCTTGCTGTGAGGGGCACCGCAGGCCCAGGAATGGCAGTGGGGGGGGATTCAAGGAAGAGAGGGAGAGAAAGAAGTGCGGGTGGGTGCGTGGGAAAGAGAGTGTGTGGGGGTGGGGGTGGGCGGAAGAGGGGAGGAGAGTAGAGAGGAAACCAGTGCAGATGCACACAGCAGTGTTTGGGTCGACTCAACTATTGGCGCATTCATTTTGGTTTAGATGCACACAGTGGTTCTTATTACTCCACACCCCCACACCCCCCCCCCACACCCTCCTTTTCCCCCTTCCCCCAATCCCACCTCCCCCAACTCACGCTTTTCAACATATACGCTCTATGTGAAAACTCAAGCTGTCACCGTCTTTCACACCGTACCGCACTGCACCACACTCCATCCCACCCCACCCGCCCACGCCCCTCAAAACGCAGCACCCACCGAGAGGCGTCTGCTGGTATGAGCAGCGGAGGCAAGCAGCAGCGGACTGAACCACGCGGGAGCAGCGGAACTGCGGGCGCGGGGAGGCGAGGCCGCAGCAGCAGGAGGAGCAGATGTGTCGCGGAGCCGCGATTCGCTGAGAAAGTGGGGCGCGTTGGTCGCGGTGCTGCTAGCGAGCACGAGGCACACGAGAGGCACCAGCATGCCGCGGAGCGCCGCGTCGCGCGGCAGCGAGCCGCCACGACCTACTAATTCGCGAGCTATGCGGCCGCGGCGCTTAGTCGAGTGCCGCCGCTGCGGCGGGCAAGCGTGCGTCGCTCTCCGCGTCTGCCGCTGCTCCTCGTCCGGCTCCTCATATGGCTGCCGCCGCAGTTGCACACCATTGCGTCGTCGTTTAACGAATCGGGTGGTTGTAGTTGTGTCACTGTCAGTGCTCCAGCTACCATGGGGATCACCGGCGCTGCGACTGCTACTGCTTCTGCTGCTGCGACTATTGCGACTGCTGCGAGTGCTGCTGCGACTGTTGCAACTGGCTCCTTCCGCGCGCCGATGTGCTCTCGCGCGCATACCGGCGGTCGTCTGAACAGGCGTGTGAGTTGAGTAAGCGCCTAAAACAATCGGCGCGAAATGACACCTCGACGTCAGCTTGACGACAACGGTCACATTAGCCCGACGCGAACTCGACCCGATTGTGACGCGACGTCGCCGCGATTGCGACGGGAGACGTCGGCGCGACGTCAATTTCCACACAGAGCAGCTGGTACGTGACAGGCAGCTTTTCCTTGGCGGGAAGCTGCTCTGTTGCGAGCGATTTGATCCTGCTTCTTCAGATGCAACGTTCTTCCACTGGAAGCAGAAACAGTGTATCAGCAATGTTACGTCACGCGGGGCCTACGTAACGCAGGCACAGTCACGTAAGTACAACTCGCCTGTTACCACGTGCAGAACATGTTACAATTGCATCTCCTTCCCAACCGTGAGCTGCGGAGGCGTGCGAGAGCTGCTGAGCTGTAGTAATCGACTGCTTCTATTTCTCAACGTTCCGAACGTGCCGCTACTACTACTACTACAATCTATTCGGACCTGCTTCAACTCTCGCCCATCCAATCAGTGCATTAAAGCGACGGGCAACTTTTGGCAGTGTTGGGTTCAGAAGTTTTTTTTTTGAACCAGGCTTGCCAGCGCGAAAGTGCTGGCTGGCGAAAACCAGGATTTCGTGCGGACACTTTCCATCCGCAGTAACAGTTCGCCAGGGTTCTGGGTTTTGGGTGGCAAATGTGCACCGTCGCTTTAAAGAAGCTAATGGGCCGCCGTCCTAGCAGTGTCAGCCAAGCACTGCCGTACGGAGTTTGAGCATGACCAACTGCCATTCAACACCCTCCAGAAAATAGTAGCCTCTTCCCATTTCCAGTGAACCTGTTTCAGCGCGATTTACTCAGGTACTTCGCGTTTTATAACGAGTGAGTTCGGTACAGACACAAACATTCTGGGAGGCACACGCCCCAGCCGTGCTCCCTGCAAGATGGAGCAGCTAGCGATGCGAACATGCGCCGTTGTGTTGCGGCGTTAAAAACAATTTTGACTTGATTTGCGCCAGTGAGAAACTTTTTTGAGTTGATTTGTGTAGCGCTGTGCAGGAAATGCTTGTTGTACTGCGATCGCCACTGTGAGCTGAACACAGAGGCGATGCATGTCACTGCCGAGAATTTTCCATTCTCAGGCTGCGTTTGTGGTTCTGATGAGCTTATCCACCATGTATGACAGGTTTTGGGGCACTTTGTACGGCTTTGTTCCTCCTGTTGACCCAGAGCGGCGGCGGGGGTTGCTGCGACGCGAGCGTTCACGGTCTGGTTGGGGAAGGTAGAGCAGCTTTGTACACTACAACTGTAACGAGGAAGGTCCAGAAAAATCCTAACAAAAGTTAACTTGCCACATTCACCACATTTATAACCATATGATTGCCATGATAATTACCGGTACAGCAATGCTTGATATACCTTCACACTTTCGTTCACTATTAAACAAATCTCATGTTCAGTAGGGATATTCGACACCCTTAGCATACGCATTCCATATTCTAAGTTTTTTAAGTTATCGTTGTTCATTCCTTGCGCATCAAAAGCACAACACAGTGGCAACCAACACTTCTATTCTCGCCAAGACTGTCCACCTTCTCGTGTGTCTTGGCCTTCACATTGATGACCTCTTCTGGTGCCTGTGCAAGACAGGTCAAGAAGTTCATGCCGTTAGAAAAATCAGCTAAAATCATAATCAGCAATTTTTCCACAATCGGTAAATCCTCATAGAAACGATCCACAAGGCTGCGGTCAATAAGTGCCGTGGGGTAAGAAATGAGATGAAAGGAGGAGAATGTGCAAGGGGGAAGAGGTGTAACGGAGGAAAACAAGATGAGAGACAGGAATGAGCGAACCTGGAGTAAGGCGGCGAGGTTGGCCTTGATCGTGGGCTTGTGTGGGCTGAGTTTGGGTCGCTGCAGGATGACAGTGGCGTCCAGGTTGCCCACCGTATACCCTGCCTCATGCATGCGCCGCACCTGTACCCCACACAGGCGCACACCGCCAACGAAGATCGCCACGGCACAGGGCACAGGGCACAAAGCACACGGCAGAGGGCATTGGGAGGGAAAAGTTCGCTCCATGGAGTACGTGTGTACACCAAGTGGAACAGCACCGAAACAGAATAAGAAGGGCCAATTGGAAATCCACATCCGAAACCAACAAGGTCCCCAGCTGCTGCTCTGCTCCCTCCCATCCCCATCCACCAACTCACCGCCTCCTCGAGAAAGAGGTGGGAGGCAGCGCCCTTCCACTTGGGGTCGTTGTCCGGGAAGAGCTGGCCGATGTCTGGCAGCCCCAGCGCTCCCAGCACCGCGTCCACCACACAGTGCAGCAGCACATCGCCTGCCAGGCGGACAGCAGGTATGGTAGGCGGAGGCGGGATGGTATACAAAGGGATTGGCAGAAGAGGGGGGTGGGGCGGCAGATGGGAGAGGGAGAAGAGTGGGATGAATGTGAGCTTGCTTGAGATCTTGGTTGAAAAGCCGAGGAGAGAGAGGCTCGCCAGGGGAGGAGGAGGAGGAGGAAGAGGAGGAGGTCCCAGGGCAGGTGAGGACGAGAGAACGACAGGAAGCAGCACATGCAGGGGCGGAATGCGTGACGTGGAGAGGCACTGCGGCATGGATGCATGAATCAAGGCGCCATGTGTGGGGAAAGGGTGACAGCCTGCTCCTTCTTCCTTCTGCCATTCTTTATGACGTCAATTGTTTCTTCTTCGTATGCTCTCGCAATCCCAATTAGGGGCAGAACGCAGACCCAATTTCGCGCCCAACCCACTTCCCTCCCCTCTCACCATGCCGTATCACCCTACCATGTTTGCCTGAATTCATATTACTTGCTTCAGTATCCCTGTTCATTTCCCCCTCACGCCCTGTACATTCCCCCTCTCCTCTTCATTCCCCTCCCGACCCCCTCCACCCCCCGCTTCCCTTCCCCCCCACCCCCCCCCCTTGCCAATGCTCCCCCCTTCCCCTCCCTACCTCCCCCTTCCGCCAGCCCCGTGCCCTTACCGTCGGAGTGCGCGTCACACCCGCGGTCGTGCGGAATGTTTACCCCGCCGATGATAAGGGGAAGGTTAGGCTCCAGCCGGTGCAGGTCAAATCCATGCCCCACGCGGAACGGAAGCGCCGCAACTGCTGCCGGCGCCGCCGCCGCTGAAGCGACTGGCGTTGGCTGCGCCTGGCAGCGAACGGCGGGCCGGCTGGCACGAATAAAGGTGCGGGAGAGGGGGGTGGAGGGGATAGGGGGCGGGGGGGAAGGGGGGGAGGGGGGAGAGGGGGGGAAAACACTATCTTTTTTCTGTTATCTGGTTTTAATGAACGGAACGGGAGGAAGGAATGGGGAAGGGAGATGCGCATATTTCATAAAAAATCGTCCAACACGAGATGTAAAATCAAATTAAAAAAAAAGGACGGAAGGGGTGGGATGGGAGGGAGGGGAAGGGGAGGGGAGGAGGGGACAAGAAATCGAGAAACCGCGACTGAGACGAAATGATATCGAACAGGAGGGATTTGCGTGCGGACATTACTCCGACAGGACAATGAACGTACGCAATTGGGGTGACACATCGCAACGGTACGCTGCTCTTGGCGTTCAGGCTGTTGCCACGTGCCGCGCTTGAAGAAGCGGCGAGTGCGGTGGCGGTGGTAACGGGAGTCGTCAACGAAAGGCTCGCGATAGACGCCATGATGCACGCTGGGGGAGATCTACGAACCCAGCCTGCCGAGTAACCAGGTGGAAGAGAGCGTACGGTTGGAACAGCACGTTCAGGGATGACGACCAGAAGGTGTGATGAGGAAAGCACAACCTAGGGAAATGCGGTGTCAATTGTAGCTCTCTCGAGAATTGAGCAGAACTTGGAAACAGCATTATACTGTCCGGTTACCTTCAGAACCATACTGTATCGCTCAAGAAACATCACGATTCACAACCCGTAATTTGGTAGCATCTGCAAGCCGAAGAATCCCGTCCAGTCTGATTAATGCGGTACTCAACGTTTCAAGACGGTTTAAAAAGGTTCTGTTTGTTGACGAAGCTGAAGACGTGGATAAGGAATGCCAAATCTTGGATGTTCCTCGTGACGATGTGGCGTCATTGACAAGTAACCGATTGGTGGAGAAGGTGAGAGGGCTGATCTAGGTGGCGGAAAATAGAACTCCCAAACTCATTCCGTGGGACATCCGTTACAGCGTTAAAATTTCTAGCTACACTACCATACTTGAACATGCAATATTAAAGCCCCCCACCATCCACCACCCCCTCCCCACCCCCCCCCCCCCCCCCCCCCCCTCCCTAACACACACGCCTCACACACACACGCACGCACACCCCCCCCCACCACACACACACACACACACACACACACACACTCACACACACACAAATGCTGAATCCTTGTCCTACCAACAGGCTTCTAGGTGGAATGGTCCGTCCACGCGCTGGCCACAACGCTATGCCAGGTTCAACTCTCAGAGTTTGCCTTTTATCTTACACTGGGAGGATGGAGAAGGATCCTTGGTGGTGGTAGTCGCAGCGCCAGAAAAGTCGCATGCAGAAGAGTGCTGGCGCTTACGCTGGTACCACTCGTTGAAAACGACAGCAGCCTTGCTGGAGTCAGGGCACTTGGCCATGAGAGCGCCGCAGTTCATGCCACCACCGCTACCAGAGCAAGCCCACGCAACCGCGTTGCTAAGCGCCTGCTTCGTCGCAGTCGACTTCGGAACGCACCATTTGAGGGAGGCGCCACCACTACCACTGCCGCCACCACCACCACTGCTGCTACCCCCACGATTCTTGTTGCTACCACCACTGCTGCCGCCACCGCTGATGCCATTACCGCCACTGGCAGCACCGCCGACCACGTTGAGAGGGTACTTGGCCTCGCCCTGCATGGTGCACAGCCCAAACGAGGTCTCAAACTTGCCCATGGCCGTGCTTTTGCGGTCCTCGTCAAACATCTCAAAGAGGTACGCGCGGATGGGTGAGTTGCGTCGCTTGGGCGTGCCGCGCCCGGACAGCAGGAACGAGACCAGCGCCGTGTTCCACTCCTTGGCTGCTGCGGGTGAGGCGATGGCTGTTCCTGCCGTTGGCCACCCTGTCTCGCCCACTGGAGTGGGGATGGGGGGGGGGGGGGGGTAGTGGCGGGGTGGAGAAAGGGGAGCAATAACAGAGATTCTAGATGAGTGTCGGTGCTGGTGGTGGTGGTGATGGTGATGGTGGCAGGCTATACTGGTGCAGAAATGCGAGTGGGAAGAGAGAGATACGGCAGGGAAGGAGGGCATGCAAGTGCGATCCAATTCCCAGCTACAACAAACAAACCCACCGATGAAGGGCATGTTGGGGAAGCCGAGCTTCTCGAAGGACCAGAGAGCACCGTCAATCGTGGCCTCCATCAGGTTGCTGTACCGCTGCCCCTTGTCGTCAAAGCTCCCCGCGCCGCCCTTGAAGAACACAAAGTCGCGCGGAATCTTGGTTGGCTCGGCGAGGTGTGTGAAGAACGGGTACACGTTCAGCACGGCGTACGAGCCTGGGAGAGCGCAGGGTGGGGTGGGAGAGGCCAGCAGGGACGGAGGAGAGTGCGTTGGGAGAGAGTGAGATCCAGAGTAGTTCACTAAGATGTACATCAGCAAAGTCTCAGGCAGCTCTGTGCAGGTCTGCTTTACTGAGCGAGTGATGCGGCACACTGGGAAGAAGAACCACCTGAAAGGTTGAACGGCTACGTTAAAAAAACCACACACACACACACACACACACACACACACACACACACACAAAAGAAGATGGATGAAATACACTGTAACAAGCAAAACATCCGGAATGGTAACGTAGAACGGCCTACCAGTTCGTTTGAGGAAGGATAGCAGCCTGGTGACCTCGTCTTTCACGCTCGGCACCACTTGCGTGCTCGACGGCGGGTACGCGTTCTGCAGAAAGTTCATGTGCTGCGGCGTGACCACCTTCACTCTCTGTTGTAGCTTGCGAGCCGTGAGTGCCTTGTAGAGTGACTCCATAGCGGGGACAACTGAACGGAGGAATGGGTTGCCAGGGGAAATCACCTCGTTCCCCACCTGCCGCGGATCGCCAGGTTTGGATCAAAACGACGGAGAGCGATTAGGATGCTAGGCAGAAAGCAAGACGGACAGAACACTCTTACAAACTGAGACTGAACCACACAGAGGGGGGGGAGGTAATTGGACTGAGTTGGGAAAAGACGGCAAAACCAGCGGTACACGTGGGAGACGAGACAGGAAGAAAGAACGGAGCACAGCACGGGGCCATCCGACGTACCGCAATAGCGAGTATATTAGTCTTCGCCATATACGGCATAATTTTCGCGTCCAGCCACTTGAGAGCCGCCGAGTCGCTCTTGGCAAATTCGTGGAGCAGCTGGTTGGGCACGCACGTCATCACCTCCAGGCCCGATCCAGCCAGCGCATTGAGCGCCGTCGGATCCGGCTGGAAGAGCTTGACGGCACTGAAGCCGCGCTGCTTGATGATGGAAACGGCCCGCGTGAGCGACACGGGGTTCGAGGAGAGCCCCACGCCGAGGTTTACGCCCATCCATGGCTTGCTGCCGGCTGCTTGCGCGGTGAGCGGAGCCAAGGAGAACGGGACGGCGGGATCACTCAGGAAGAGGGGGAAGAGGATGGCGACTGCGAAGACGGCGGCCACTCCTCGAGAGGTTGCGCGAAAAGCAGACATTGCGGCGGTGTCGAGGGGATATTTTCGGGAAGTGGTACGTATGTGCGAAACGCGCGGGCGTACAGGGCGAGCAGTGTCGCGTAATGGGAAGGAACGCTTAAGGAGTTGTTGAATACTAGTAAGGCTGGCGTTGGAAGATAAGGAATCCTTGCCCGCATTCCATGGTGCTTGACCATGTGGTTTACAGCCATTTATGTAGTCGCAGCATGCGTGCGGCGCGATAATTTTCCAGCCCCGCAAGTCTAGTGAGTGACCTACGCGGTAAGTGTGGTGTAGCGCGTCTCACGGGATTGGAACTTGGAAAAGGTGGTGATGGCCAGCCATGCCGGCTGCGTTCTGTGCGCACAAGCCCAGCGGACCTTCCGCAAAAGCCATGCTTGAGGGGTTTTCCTCGAAGGGGAAAACGGCAGCGCCGCCTCGTCGAGAATAATTTTTGCTGACGAAGCAACTTCGCAATCAGCCCTCCACCATTTTCGATCACAACTCGTGCGCGCAGACATTACTCCGAAGCATCTCGAAGGGTTAACTTCAGAGACAGCTTGTGCGAGCCCTATCCGCTCATCAAGAGGAAGTGAATAATGATAGATCCTTGACCGCATTTCATGGCACTTGACGATGTGGTTCGCAGTTATTTATGCTACAGTATGCGTGCGGCGCGATAATTTTCCACCCTTGCAGTTAGTGAGCTAGGCGGTAAGACTGAAGTGTGGAACAGACGCGTGCTGTATAGTAGCGCGTAACAAAAGGAATTGAAAGGTGTTGAGTGGTGAGGGACTTGTAGCGGCTTGACTGGGCGCAAGAGGGAGGGAGAGGGAAAAGGAGTGCGCGGGGATACACACATACAACTGTAGAGAATGCGATGTGCTGTACAGAAGGACGCAATACACGTACAGCATTTAACCAAACCAGCTCGCACTCCTGTAAAATGTGAAGCGTTGGGATGCACATTGAGAATGGGTTTCGGCACTGGGGAGGGGAATGCGTTTAGGCAAATAGCCTTGCATAAAGGATAGTTGACAAGCATACAAAAAATGATGCGTGGTAATTATCACTCAGTTTCAACTTCTCCATTCCCTTCTCAGGGTTGGCCTCTTAGTTTGCACTGGGAAGATGGGGAAGGATCCTTGGTGCTGGTAATGGCAGCACCAGCGAAGTCGCATGCAGCAGGGTGCTGGCGCTCGCGCTGGTACCACTCATTGAAAATTACTGTAGCCTTGCTGGAATCGGGGCACTTGGCCATGATGGTCCCGCAGTTCATGCCGCCCCCGCTACTAGAGCAAGCCCACGCAACTGCATCACTAAGTTGTTGCTTCGACGCAGTGGATTTCGCAATGCACCATCTGGGAGCGGCGCTACCACCACCACCACCACTGCTACCACCACTCTTGCTGCTTCCAGCACTGCTGCTGCCACCGCTGCTGTCACCGCTGCTGCCACCGCTGCTGCCATTACCGCCACTGGCAGCACTGCCCAGCACATTGAGGGAATACTTGGGGTCGCCCTGCATGGTGCAGAGCCCCCACGAGGTCTCAAACGCGCCCATGCTCGTGTCCTTGCGGTCCTCGTCAAACATCTCAAACAGGTACGCGCGGATGGGCGAGTTGCGCCGCTTGGGCGTGCCGCGCCCGGAGTGCAGGAACGAGACCAGCGCCGTGTTCCACTCCTTGGCTGCTGCGGGTGAGGCGACGGCTGCCCCTGCCGTCGGCCACCCTGTCTCGCCCACTGGAGTGGGGATGGGGGGATGAGTGGCGGTGTGGAGAGAGGAGAGGATTAGCGACAGTGGTGCTGGTGCTGGTTCTCGAGCTGCTGGCTGGCAATATCGGTGCCGAAACGCGAGCGGGGGAGCGAGAGATGGTGGGGAAGGAGACCATGCGAGTGCAATTCTCATTCCAAGGACCGACAGCTCTTACCGATGAAGGGCATGTTGGGGAAGCCGAGCTTCTCGAAGGACCAGAGCGCGGCGTCGATGGAGGCCTCCATCATGTTGCCGTACCGTCTCCCCTTGTCGTCGTAGCCCCCCGCGCCGCCTTTGAAGAACACGAAGTTGCGCGGAATGTTGGCCGGGTCGGCGAGGTACGAGAAGAAGGGGTACGCGTTCAGCACGGCGTACGAGCCTGGGGGAGAGCAGGGTGGGGTGTGGTGGGTGATGCCAGCACGGACGGAAAAGGTTGGGTTGGGTTGAAGAGTTTAAGATCTAGTATAGCTGGGTGCGAATCACATTGCAAGAAGGCACGAATGGAAAGTTGAAATGGCCTACCTGTTCGGTTGAGGAACGATAGCAGGCTGGTCATCACGTCTTTCACGCTCGGCACCACTTGCGCGCTCGACGGCGGGTACGTGTCCTGCAGGAAGCTCATGTGCTGCGGCGTGACCAGCTTCACTCTGCGGTGAAGCTTGCGAGCCGTGAGTGCCTTGTAGAGTGACTCCATAGCGGGTACAACAGACCCAAGGTATGGGTTGTCAGGGGAAAGCACCTCATTCCCCACCTGCAACGAAACGCCAGGAATGGATTGTGAGGACGGGGGAGCGAGTGAAATGCAAGGTGGGTGAAAAGGCGGAGAGAACGCTTCTGGAATATGGGTGAGAAGGTGCGTTGAGAAGGCGAGAAGGTCGACTGAAACAGGAGAAAGCTGCAAAACCAGCCCGGAAAGTGCGAGACAGTAAGAACCGAGATCAAAGCCATGCAGCATCGACGTACCGCAATAGCGAGTATATTAGTCTTCGCCATGAAGGGCATTATATTCGCGTCCAGCCACGCGAGCGTCGCCGAGTCGCTCTTCGCGAAATCCCCGAGCCGCTCGTTGGGCACGCACGTCATAACCTGCAGGCCCGACCCAGCCAGCGCATTCAGCGCCGTCGGATCCGGCTGGAAGAGCTTGACGGCACTGAAGCCGCGCTGCTTGATGATGGAAACGGCCCGCGTGAGCGACACGGGGTTCGAGGAGAGCCCCACGCCGAGGTTCACGCCCATCCATGGCTTGCTGCTGGCTGCTTGCGCGGTGAGCGGGGTCGAGGAGAGGGGGAGGGAGGGGTCGTGTGGGAAGAGGAGGACGAGGATAGCGACCGCCGCGATGGCGAATGTTCGACCGGGTGTACGACAAGCAGACATTGCGGCGTCGCAAGATTATTCGCGAAGCGGTGTGTGTGCCGAGGAAGCAGGGTCGCGCAATGGGACGGGTTGCCGACGAAAGTATAGAACTCTAGTAAGGCTGGAGAAGTAAGAAATCCTTGCCCGCATTCTCTGGTGTTTGACGATGTGGTTTACAGTCATTTATGCTAATCTCAGTACGCGTGCGGCGCGATATTATTACAGCCCCGCAGGTATTGTGAGTGACGCTACGCGGTCGGTGTGATGTGCTAGTTCTGCTTAGCGCGTCTCTAAGGGTTGAAACTTGAGATGGTGATGGCCTGCCATGCTATGCACGTCCGCACTGACCAGGAGGAAACTACAGCGCCATTCGGAATGGCAGGCAGGAAAGGGAAGTGAGAGGGTTGTGATGGGAAGGAAACAGGAAAGAGCAGGAAACAACAAAGAAGCAGCTGGAGGAAAACCTGGTTACCTTTCTACGAGCGAAAACTCGAGTAATCCACCACGATCAATGGTAATTCCAGGAATGACGTCGCTTGTTTTGACGAACGATAACGAAATACATGGGCGAATCTCCATCACGAGGCGCAATTTCACTTTTGGGATTGCCTTTCACAAGCTTCCGCGACGCGAGTTGGACCTTCACTGTGCGAACGAATTGCCAGTCTTTTCTCGCGAAAAGTGTGCGAAGCATTGTTCGTGCGTGGACATGCTGGGTGTAACAGCACAGTACAGCAGTTCTGGGCATGTTCTAGCGAATGGCGAACTCCGCGGCAACGTGACGACTGCGAAAGATTTCCCCCCAAAAGTGTAGCAGGTTTCCCATCTCCCTCAAGAACTTCTCCTGCTTCAAAACAGTGGAGTTGAGAACCCAAGCGACTACCGGTAAATCGAGCTCCATGTTTCTTCACAAATAAAGCATTCTAATTGCAGTAACATTATTTACAAGGTTGTCTACAACATCCGGAATACACCTGAAGAATAAGTTTTGCACCATTGAACTATAGCCTAGTATGTCAGAACTTATTTCCTGAAGGAAGGCTGAAACATACCGGTACTAGCATCCCTGGGAGGAGCCTGAAACACCCACGGTGTGTTGGTGCAAGGAGATGGAGAGACTAGTGGTCCTACACTGGGCAGCATGATCGATCCCTGCATAAAGCCCATGGGTGGAGCACCTGATGGAACTGAAACAGCAGCAGCACCCAGTGGAGGCGGAACAGGTGATAGGTAAACAGGCAGGCCAAGGGAAGGAATCACGGATGCTGCTCCATCCCTACAGAAGAATGGGGAAACTGCATATCCAGCAACTGTAGCTTGATATTTCGAATCTTTCACATTTTGAGGCACCACAATCCAGTCTTGCATGGCGACCTGCTGCATGTGCTGTCCCTGGTGCTGTCCTCCTGACAAACCACCTTCAAGGTTCCTCAGCTCCACCTCCTTCCCGCCCCGCATGTCCTCGCTGTCTACAAGCCCCGAACGAGAAATAGCACACTCGCCCGGCTCTTCATCCTCTCCACCCAAATCTCCCGCACCACTTGCAACGCCTTGAGCACGACAGCAAGACCCAACAGAGCCAGAAGCTTCTGGAACAAGTAACTCCGAGTTCAGGTGCGGCGCGAAGGAGCCGGTGCCACTGCAGCACGGAGCAGCAGGAGGGGGGACAGAGGCTCCTTGGAGAAGAGTGGCGCCGGTGTCCGCTGACGTGAGGTCGCACTGGGTTGGGAGGCCCGGGCGCTGAGGAAGTGTTTTGTTCCATGGAGCATAGAGCTGTTGTGGCTGTAACAGCTGCTGCTGCTTCACCTGCAGCTGCTGCTGCTGCTGATGCTGATGCTGCTCGCTGACATCTTGGTTCGATTGGTAAGAGCCTCGTAGCTGCTGGCCTTGGTGCTGCCGCTCCTCTAGCTGATCGTTGGCAGGCGTCCCAACGTGATGCAAATCTCGTGTCATTCCTTCTGGATGCAGCTTCTGTTGTCCGTGCGGCACTGGGGCGCTGCTCAATCCACATATGTCTTCGTGGCAGTAAGCCCGCGAATACATCCGCGATACAAATTCCGACTCCATCCAGTTTAAAAAGTCGTTGTGAGCATCCTCGGTCCAACAGCGGGTCCACAAAAAACTCTCTCCACGGACTCCTGCTTCTCCTGCTGCTCCTGCTGTTGTGGAAACACGTTCATGCAAACTACCTCCGTGAACCGAGGGACACGAGGGCTTCAGATTTGGCTGCTGCGATCGCTGCCGCTTAAGTTTCCGGGGCTCTGCAGCTCGTTGCGTCTGCTTTCCACGCAAAAGGTTGCCATCAGCGCAAGGAGTCAACGGCCCTGCTGCATCCTTGTCTTCTTCACCAAAACTCGCCGTAGGTCTCTGCCGCTTGTGCTGTGCAAGCACATCCGAGTTACCCATATGCTGCAGGCCGTACGTCATGTATGCGATGCAGGAGAACTGTTATATGACTGTCTTGCAAACAGACTTTCCAAGTCACTCGTCGGTCGTAATGGATGACCGTTGCCGTAAAATGGCTGCTGGCTCGCATAAATGGACAACCCGATATAACGGTAATATGTGGTCGAAGACGAAAGGAGTCCACAAACCTCTGTTGTTACTCAAGTGCTTCCCTTGGTAAGATTTACGCGCAGGGGTTGGGAATGAAGCTCGCTGGCTTTACAAGATTCTTCTCGTGATAGGAAAGTCTCAAAACTAAACCAGTAGCGAAGCGTAGGCACAGAAGATGCGACGACCATGGCTGAACACACGGGAGCTGGATATATCCTACCGAAACGAGAAGCTCAAGGAAGACCACTGATTTCGACGCGGGTGACTGGCTGGCAGGGACGCTCGAAGAAAAGGTTCGGATGGCGGTTCCGAAAGGGGAGTGAAAGAATCGGCGGGCTAGGCGGAGACAGGGAGGCAGTCGCTGTAAGATGCCTCTGGCGGAAACGTAGAAATATGGGGAGGGGAGAACGGCTTGGCGCTAGCGGATGCGCGGTGAGGTGAAGGGGAAATGACGGCAAGGCAAGGAAGCGTGCGCCATGCATGTCACTGGGAATGGTGCGGCCAAATTGGCGCATCGAGAACCGAAGCAAGCTCCAGCGAGACAAAGGCGGGATAAAGGCATGTGGGCCAGCCTGTGGTTGGAGAGCACCAAGCACCTCGAGCATTGCGCGCACGAGTGGGGAGAGGCGATGTGAAAAAATCACTCGCTGCACCAATCATGCGCGCCTTGCCGCGTCGGACCGCCAGCTCCGCTGGAAAAAGCGAGCCTCAAAGTCACCAAGGCACTGCCACGTGAGCATTGTGCGCTTTTTCCGTCAGCAAGGCGCGTGAAGGAAAAATCGGCCACTTTAGCTAACAGGTGCCATGTGTGGTCGGGGCTACTTGAGGCTTATCTTGAAGAGTCTGGTGCGACGGACGGTAAGATCCGTCGCTTGCTGCCTGCTTATTCGAAGGAACTACAGCGTCCGTCGATTGAACAAAGATATTGCCCAGCTGCTGTCCCTTGCACTGTTATAGCGTCCGACATGGCAAAGTGGTGAAACCCTGCCACCTGGCCTGCAGCAAAAGCATTGGTCGAGATCATGACGAAACAACGAGTGGGAGCACTTTCCAGGACAGAGTTCACGGAATGTGGCTGAGATATTTCGGCGTGCATACTTTTTGCTCTCGTGTTTCTGTAAACAGTGACCAGAGTGGCGGGAAATCAAGAAAACAGAAGGTTATATTCTCTGAACTATGGTCTCCTTGGAAAGGGAGCAGGTAAGAAGAACTGTACAGCTCTGTATGTTTTACGGGCAGCACACATCTATGGTAAGGACGAATGCCATGAGATATTTTCCATCATTGATTTTGCCGCGGAAGGCTGTGATTGGAGAATGGCTGGTGTGGTTGCAATCGCTGGAGCTTCCCTGTCGGATCAGATGGTACAGTTCAGGACTAAACACAGGTTGATGTGATTGAAGTGAGAAAAAAAAAACTTGTCTTGCTGGAAGAAAAAGGTTCTCGAATCACAACTCTGTCACTGTAACTGTATACTGATTATTGAAATGAGCCGTGGTCCAAGGGGAAGACTCACCGTGTTCCTTTTTTTTGTGTTTTCAATCAATCAACTCTCTGCCCGTTAAAAGCTCGAATCTGCCGATGTTTGACACGAGGCCATCCCATCCTTGCCATGCATGGATGGGGCTGACTTGAGGTCGCTTGCATTGGTTTGACTTGGGATCTCGTTAAGAACTGTCGAGGGGTTCACTAATGATTTACGCGTACACGAACGGATGCCTTACGCAGAGAAAATGGATCTGACGTCTCTTGTAAAATTCAACAATCTACAAGCTAGTTGACAAGTGGACATGAGAAAAATATTTCCTATATTGTCAGTCCATAACACATGTTCAGGAATGTTAATTTTCTGGACTAGTCTACGGGAAGCTAGCTGCGCTAATGCCTTAGACAGTAATGATGAACTTCCAACAACCCCACTCTGTTTGGAGTGGGACCCACTGCTGTTGGGATACAACATACAAGCCTATTTGAACACTTGTATGCCACATGGCATGGCAGCACCGATACTAGCACCGATACTAGCTGCCTTGATGGCTACACAGAGGAGTGTATAGAGGGGAAGAGAACAGAGAGGGGCTTGGTTTGGAATGGGTTGGGCTGAAGTGGAGTGGGAGCCTGGGAGGAACTGAAGTGGAGGCGAGGAAGAGGAGAGGTGCTTACAGGATAGAGGGGTTTTGAACCATCCTACCCAGCTATTGTGCAGTGCTGACCACACACAAGGAAAAGAGAGAGCACTGCCATAGCCCGAAAAGGTTGTCCGAGCAAAAAGGGGCGGCGAAAGCAGAGGTAGGGGACGGGCTGGTGTGTATGCTGTTGCCAGTGAAGGTGGAATTAGGAGAGGCGGAGGTAGGAGAGGTTGCATCTGTCCCTTGGGGTGTGTTCGTTGGGTTTGCTGCGCCGGGGGTTGTGAGTATGCTGCTGCACGTGGTGAGGTCGTCGGCACTGGGAATGGTTATGAGTGATGGGGGCACTGTAGCAGAAGCGAGACGCGGCGCTGTTGCTTCTTTAGCTGCTGCTGCTGCTGCTGCTGATGTTGGTGATGCTGGCGATGCTGCTTCCGAAGGAGCCTGAAAAAAGAGAGGATGTCAATAACACAAAACAGATGAGATAGAAGAGCTTGAGGAGCAGTAATAGAGTAGGAAATACGAAGCGCGAAAACGCGCGCACACACACCACCCTAATCGACCCGCCACACATGAGAAAGAAAGGGAAATAGGAAACAGCGGAACGAGTAAGAGAAGAGCCAAGAAACAACAAGTAGGGAGAGGCCCGCAATAGAGTGCACGTGGTGCTTACCTTGGCGGATAGCCCGCTGCCCGCATCAACACAGGCCAGCTGTGTGCCTGTAACCTTAACATCAATGCCTGCTATTCCAATGCCTGTATCCCCAACTTCTCTCACAGTCACTCCCATGACATCACCAGCTCGCCTCACCCCTGCCTTCATCGCTCCTTGTGCTCCTTCTACTACTGGACCTGCTGCCGTTGCTGCTGATCCTGTTCCTGATCGAACTCCTGCTGGTGGCCCTTGCGCTAATGCCGGTTCTGTCAAGGCCATTATCGCTCGTAGCTCAGTGGCTGCTTCGTCCCCTGCTGCTGCCACAACTGCTGCTGCCGCCGCCAACACTGCAGCTGCTTCAGCTGCTGAATACACCGGCGCAGCAGCAGCAGCAGCAGCAGCAGAAGAAGTTGCGCCACCAGCACCATCAACAGCAGCCACAGCAGAAGCATCACCAGCAGCATCACCAGCAGCAGCAGCACCACCATTGCCACCAACCCTGGCAGCAGCAGCAACGGCGGCATCAGCAGCAGCAGAGGGAATGCCATGCACAAGAAGCAGTGCTGCATGGTATCGATTGAACGCTCGGCTCAACCCATCGCATCCCACAGCAGATGCTGCGGCTGCTGCTGCTGAGAGCACCTCTTGTACCCAGAGCAATAGCACAGGGTGTAGCGGGGCGAAGGGTGAGGAGGCGGACTGGGGGGAGAGAGTGAGGGAGCGAGGGATGAAGGCAATGGGGTTGGTGGAGGAGGAGAGGTAGGACTGGGAGCGAGGGAGAGTGGGGAAAAATCCTCCAGGGGAGGGTTTGGAGGTGGAAAGAGGGTGCGCAAATGGAGGAGTTTTGTGAGAGGGCATGGCCGCGGTTGTTCTCGTGGTTGCATGCGGGTCAGAGGGTGTGTGTGTGAGGGGAGAGGTGAGGGTGGAGGAATGGGTTGGGCGAGAGGGGGAGGAGAGAGTGAGAAGTGCGTGTGTGAGGTGGGGGGTGAGGAGCAGGAGCAAGGCTCGGGCAATCAGAGGACTTGAAGCAGTGACAAAGGGATACCTGAAGGGTGGAGAGGGGAGAGGGGTATAGAGGGGGAGGGAGGAGCGGGAGTGGACAGAGGGGAGTTATGAGACGCCGAAAAGAAGGGAGGTCAGAGGCGATTAGAGAGAATGAGAGTTCATGGAAATCGGAAGAGCTTAAGGATCACGTGGGAGAAGGTTTAAGTTTATGCTGAGAAACGTCACACCATGAGGAGGTAGAGAAAGGGGGGGAGAAGGAGGAGGAGGAGGAGGAGGAGGAGGAGGAGGAGGAGGAGGAGGAGGAGGAGGAGGAGGAGGAGGAGGAGGAGGAGGAGGAGGAGGAGGAGGAGGGAATTTGGAGTGCGTACTGGATTTGCTGACTGCTTGCCCGAACCTGCTCCCTGAGCAGGATCCTCTCCTCCCTCTCGATGCTCCGCAGTAGCAGCCGCTGCTGCTTCAACCATTGCTCCTCTTGCTGCTTCTGCTGTTGTTGTTGGTGCTGGAGGCACTGCTTCGCATGCCCCAGCCTGTTGCGAGACAAGGAGCGTTTGAAGCCCTGCTTTGTGGCCTGGCGCGTACCTACTCGTGCAAGGGATACCAGTTCCTCTGGCGTCTGCTGTCTCTGTGAACGGATCACCCCATCACTCTCTGTGCACCTCCCAACAGAGGACTTGCTAGCGGGGAGAGTGACTCGCACGCTACTCCTTCCCACACCCATACTCAGCCCCTTCCACCTCCTCCCACTGCTGCCGACTTGAGGCTCGGGCTCTGAATGCCTGTGCATGGTGCGGGGCGGGAGAGAGCGAGACCGCGAGAAAGAGGAGGTGGCAGAGGGAGGAGAGGATGGGGAAGCGGAGGAAGTGGAGGACGAGGAGGAGCAGGAGAAGAGGGAGTTCGTAGGGAAAAAAAACGGCGACCACGAGTGAGAGAGAGGAGGAGGAGGAGGAAGGTGGGGAGAGGTAAACGAAGGCGAGCAGGCGGGATGAAGGGAGGAGGAGGAGGAGGCGGAGGAGGCAGAGGCAGAGGCGGAGGCAGAGGTGGAGGAGGCGGAGGAGGAAGAAGCGGCAGTGGGAGGAGGAGGCGCAGGATGGTGCATGCGGATCTCGTTGCGTGTGATGCGGTGGTAGAGCGCGGAGAGGAGGGCGGGGGGGAGGTCGCTGCCGTTGTCAATCCCACGGTTGTTGCGAATGAACTCGGCTTCGGTCATCTTCTTCTTGACACACGGGCTGTGCGCGTCCGTGTTGAGCATCACGATGGAGTAAGCCAGCACGTGGGCAGTGGACGGGCGCCCGCTGAGCGGGCCTCCAGGATTGCAGCAGCAGTAGCGCGCTGCCGAAGCTTCCATGACTCGCTCGATCTTCTGCGCCTCGCCCGGCAGCCGAAACCACTGCAGCACCACCCGAATCGCCTCGTCTAGCTCCAATCCCTGGTGGTGGGGGAAGGGGAGGGGTGTGGGGGGAACGGGGAGAACGAATGAACTCCGCTTCGGTCATCTTCTTCTTGACACACGGGCTGTGCGCGTCCGTGTTGAGCATCACAATGGAGTACGCCAGCACGTGTGCTGTGGACGGGCGCCCGCTGAGTGCCCCCCCCGGGTTGCAGCAGCAGTAGCGCGCTGCTAAAGCTTCCATGACCCGCTCGATCTTCTGCGCCTCGCCTGGCACCCGAAACCACTGCAGCACCACCCGAATCGCCTCGTCTAGCTCCAATCCCTGGTGGTGGGGGGGAGGGAGGGGAGGAGCGAAGGGGGCAAGTGGAACGGAGGCGGTTGGTGCAAGGACTACGGATCCTTTGGTGAATTCAGTTCAGAGAGAACCATTGCAGCACCATCCGGACGGCCTAGTCCCTCCAGTCCCTGGTTATGGGGTTGTGATGATGCGGGGTGCTCAGCTTCGAGAAACACATGATATCAATGATACAGGAACAAACGAATTAGTGAAGATAGAGGGAAAAGAAGGAGGCCTGGACGGCTGGCTGGCCTAAATGCTAAGCTGATGATTGACGAAAAGGATTGCTCAAGAGCGGGGTGGCAGGAAAAGAGGGGTAGAAAGGGGCGGAAGGGGGCAGAAAGGGGCGGAGGGGCCCAGAAACGGGCGGAGGGGGGCAGGAAGGAGGTACCCTGAGGTCGAAGGAGTCCATGTACGCAGCGAGCACAGCAGCAGCGTTTTCAGTCAACTCAAAACTCGTGTATAAGGCAACAAAGAGAGAGTCCAAGAAAGAGAGAGTGGGGGCAGAAAGGAAGGAGGTACCCTGAGGTCGAAGGAGTCCATGTACGCAGCGAGCACAGCAGCAGCGTGTGGGCCTCTCTCCCCCAGATAGCTGCCTATGGCCGTGCGGCAGAGAGCAGGTGCCGTGCGCAGGAAGATTGCAATGGTGTGAGGGGAAGGCGGGGAGGAGGAGGAAGAGGAGAAGGGGGAGGAAGGTTCAGTGGAGGAAGGAGGCAGGAAGGAGCAGGTGGAGGAGGGTGTGGGGCAAGAGGTGTGGGCAGGGGCGGAAGGAGGAGTGGGATATGAGAAGGACGGGAGGGAGGAGAGGGAAGAGGGGTGTGGATGGGCGTTGAAGCGGTGGATCGCGGCATGGTACTGCAGCTTGCGCTGCACCTGCTCACACAAATGGGCCCATGATGACCTGTCTGTATCCCCAAGCCTTACAGCCGCTTCACCTTCAGCACACGCAGCAGTGGCAGCCGTGGCACCAGAATCAGCAGCTGCAGCAGCAGTGGCTCTATTCACCGCGCCGCTCCTCCCACCCGTCTCGTCCTCCCTCTGACCTCCTCCCAATTCCCCTGCTTCCCTCCGTCTCTTCGCATTTCCGTACTCTTGCCTCGCGCTAGACCAGTCAGCCAGAGATCGCAGCAGGGACGCAAAGGCAGAGAGTGCTGCAATGCGGTGGGGGTCATAGCTTATGGGGCTGAGAATAAGCGGAGAGATCGGAGGGGAGTTGTGAGAGAGCGGAGTGGAGAGAGAGAGGGATTGGGAGGGGGACAGGCATGGAGACGGGGAGAGGGATGGGGAGGGGGACATGGATAGGGAGGAAGGGGAGGAGCGGAGGGAGGAGCAGGAGGGACAGCGGGAGAGTGAGAGCGATGATGGGAAGGTAGACGAACTTGTGGTGCTGCTGCTGCTGCTGCTGCTGCTGCAGGTGCAGCTGCAAGTGGTGCTGCAAGTGGTACTGCAAGTGGCGCTGCAGTTAGTGCTGGTGCAAGTGGTGCTGCAAGTGATGGTGCAGTTAGTGGTGGTGCAAGTGGGGGTGGTGCTGTGGCTGTTGTAGAGCCCAGGAGTGTTGCTGGTGCTGCTACAGCTATGGATGCACCCGCTGCCCTGAAGACTCATGGCCATGTGGGCCGCGGCAGGAGCAGGTGCAGCGGAAAAGGGAGAGATGGCAGGAGAGATAAAAGACGAGGGCGAGGGAGAGTAGTAAGAAGGAGAGGGAGCAGCAGGCAGGTAGGCTGTCAGGTCTTGGACTGAGAACGTGGGTGAGGGAGAAAGGAATTGTTGCTGCTGGTGGTGCTGGTGCTTGTGGTGGTGGTGCTGCTGGTGCCGTTGCTGCCGAGGCTTGAGTTGGGAGCTGTGGTGCGTGTCTGGGTCGAGAGGGGTGCAAATGGTATCTGCTAGGGTGCTTATAGACCTGCCAAGACGGGGTAAGGTGGAGTGGGGAAGGGGGTTGAAGGGAGGTGGAGGGGAAACGAGGGGGAATGAAAGGTAAAGGTGGGGACAAGAGGGCGGGGAGGAGAGTTTGTGAGTCAATACACTATGGGGAAGAGAAAGGTAAAGCACTACAAAAGCGAGATGTATGCTCTATCTTGCTCTTACCTTCCCTTGGTTGGCAACACAACACAGTCACATGCACGACACTGATCCCAAGCCCATGACGCACCGACCTACTAGTAAAGAATGTCCTTTTCCCTCCTCCACTCCACTAGAACCCGCTACCCGCCTGCGCATGGCACAGCTCCCAGTAAAAAGCCCCCCGTTCCCCTCTTTAGTCGATTTTTGAGTCGACTCAAAAATCGACTTATCACACACGCCTGCGCATGGCACACCTCCCAGTAAAAAGTCCCCCGTTCCCCTCTTTAGAACTCACCGGAGCACGAGGTCGCCCCCGCCAGGGCAGCAGTCATGATTGAGAAAGAGGTCGAGGCAGAGCTGGGGGAGGGTGAGGAGATTTTCTAGTCGACTCAAAAATCAACACAAGCTCTCTCCCCCGCCCCTTCCCCCAACTACAACCCACCTGAGCACGAGGTCCCCTCCGCCAGGGCAGCAGTCGTGGTTGAGAAAGAGGTCGAGGCAGAGCTGGGGGAGGGTGAGGAGCGCACGCAGGGCGCAGAGGAAGGGCGCCTTGGCGCGCAGGGGGAGGGTGCGGCTGTTGAGGGGCGTGAGCAGCATGTGGGAGACGAGGGGGGGGACGTGGGAGTGGAGCGGCGCGCGGAGGAGGGTGAGGAAGCGGAGGAGGAGGGAGAGCGAGAGGTGGCATAGTTGAAAGGTGGTGCTGCTGGTGCTGGTGCTGGCGCTGGTGCTGGTGCTGGTGCTGGTGCTGCTGGTGGTGGTAGTGGGTGGAGTTGAAGGTGGGGAGGAAGAGAGGTGAGGTGAGGAGGTATTATTGGTGGTGGGAGTGGTGGGGGGAGAGGCGGTGGTGATTGCCGCATTGACGTTGCTGATGAGGGAGAAGCAGAGAGAGTCCTTGAGGGCATTCACCAGGCTGTACAGAGGTGATGAACGAACGAGGCGCGGGCCGGGAGGGAGGGGGGAAGGGGGGATGGGGGGATTGGGGGAAGGGGAGAGAGTGGCGGGAAGGGGGGAAGAGAAGGGTGGGTGGGTTAGTCCAACCAAACAAAGTTAGGCTAGTAGCTACTAGCTACAAATGAGCCCAGCGTATCTCTCAAGAAGCACAGCTGTGACAGACACAATGCCTTGACCTGCCTTCACACACACCCAGGCAACTTGTCCAAAAGGAGAAGGCGCAGCGCAACAGGTAGAAAAGGGCTCGAGTCAAGGGAGATTCGGATCGTGAAGTGGTGGTTGGTTGGCAGGTGGGGAGGCTGTGAGAGGCGAATAGAGAGACGCACCGTGGGTGAGAAGCAAGGTGAGGCGCACTGGTCTCCACCACCCAGCACAGCAACTCCATTGCTGCCACCCTTACTTCCTCCTCCCCTACTTGCTCCCCCTCCCCTCCTTGCCGCTCGTCCCCTATTTGATCCTCCTCACACACCTGCTCCGCACCCTCCTCACTTTCTTCTGCTTCCTGAGACTTCTGCCCGCAGTGCCCTCTCCTCCCACGGCCTGTTCTCCCATGCACGGCGAGATGGCACAGCTCCGTAAGCAGCAGTTGTGCATCATGGAACCACACAGTCTCACGCCTCTCCTCCTCGCCCTCCAATGCACCACCGGCGTCAGCAGCAGGAGACGTGCAAGCAGCAGCAGCTGCTACAGCAGGAGCTGCAGCTGTAGCATCAGCGGAGTGTGAAGCATAAGTATGAGCATCCAAGAGACTGCTGCTCGCGCTGCTGCTGCTGCTGCTGCACCCCTGCAAACTCTTCCCGGTTAAGCTGCTGGTACCGCAGCCACTGTTGCGGTCACTGCTGCTGACTCCGTTGTTGAAATTCCCAAGGCTACCACTGCTGGCAATAGAGGGTAGGGAACAAGGCTCTAAATCTGTGCCAAGATTGTCCGTGTGTTGCTGCTGCTGCTGCTGCTGCTGCTGCTGCAGTGGCCTCTGAGCAAGTGGTTCCTCCTCCCTGTCCTGGATAGACGGTGGCAGTTGAGGATTGGCCTGCCCATTGCTGCTACTACTGCCACAGTTCACCTCCCCTGTACTCGCCTGATTACTCTCCACACACATCCGTGTGCTGCTTGAGTGAACATCTTTCATCACTCCCGATTGCTTGAAACTCATCTCTTTCCCCGCCACTTCTCTTTCCACACCTCCAGTCACCTCTCCCCCCCCCCAAGCCTGTGCAAGCATGAAACGCGCATCCACTCTATCAAGATTTCCCACACGCCCGCTCCACACACCATCGTACCCGCACACAGCACCCTCTCCTGCCTCTCCCATGCACACTCCCGCGCACCCTCCCCTCGCTGCCTCCTCTTTCCCTCCCTTGCCCAAACTCCCACAAGCCTCTACAGCATCCCAATCTCGCCCCTCACTCCCTCCCACTGTCCCTCCATGCTGCCCCAGCGCAAGCACCAGCTGCTGCTGCACCCACTCCCAGTCGCTCTCTCCCAAACCTTCCTCGCCTCGCCCTTTCTCCCACAGCGGAGCAGCACACAGAAGCGAGGGGCGACACACAGCGGAGCTGCAGCAGGTATGACAAGGCCCATCCCTGGTCCCTGCGTCCCTCTGCTCCTCCTTTCCAGTAAAAGAGTATGTCAGCATGTGTGCTAGAGCGGCTTTAGCGAGTGCTTTCAGCCTGCCGTTCGCCCTGCCAACTGCTGCCGCCCATGTTGCTTCCCTGCTCCTCTGCTTCGCCTCCTCTGCTGCTGCTGTTCCTGTTCCGTGCACCGAGTGTTGTGTCGCTGCATCACCGTGTTCCTCCTCTGCCTCTGCAACACGGCCTCTCCTCATCCCTCTCACACGCACACTCCAGCCACCACCACTGCCGTCAGTACTGCCTCTACTCGCACTGCTGCTTCTGCCACCGCTGCCACTGCTCCCAGTACTGATACTACTGTTAATACTGCTGACGCTGCTGGCGCTGCTGACGTTGCTGCTGAAGCGGTCGTTCCTCCTCACCGCCCCTTTCGGCCGCCCCAACTCCTCCCTCTCCCCTCGAACCAGCGCCATAACCTCCCGTCGGGAAGCAAGAGACGCGGGTGCAACCTCAGAGACAAGGAGGGAAGACTGGCGTGCTTGCTGCCAGACCGGAGAGATAACGGCTGTACGCGAGCAGTGGGAGGGCGAGGGTGCAGGTGCACGGAAGTCGGAGCGAGGGTGAGTGGGGGTGAGAGTGGGAGAGGGTGCGGGATGGGAAGAGGTGAGAGCCTGAGGGAGAAGAGACGGTGGAAGAGGGAGAGGAGGACGGACGCGTGGAGGCGAAGGGAAGGAGCGCAGGCGAAGGCGAGGAACGTGCGGACTGCTTGGTACTGCAGAGAAGTTACAGCAGATGCTGTCGCGGCAGCAGCAGCACCAGCGGTCGCGGCAGTAGGGGCGGTGCTCGATTGTAGCACATTCGGTACGTGCAAACCCGACGGAGGTGGCGGGAGAATGTGAGCTGGGCGTGTGGAGGAGGACGAAGACGCGGGGTGGACGATGGGAGGAAGACCGGCACAGAGGCAAACGGCATCTAAAATGCGCCCTGCCACGCCGCCGCCGCCAACGCCACTGCTGCGAGCACCGCTGCTGCCACTGCTGCTCCTGCTCTCGCGCTTGCCCTCGCGGCTGCTACTGGTCATGCTAGCTTCACATTCGCCGTCCAATACCCCACGTGACGAGCGCGCGCCTGGCCCCAAGTCTGCATCACCACCAGCGCCGCCGTCGTTCCTAGTTACCTTATCAGTCGGACGCACCACACTGTCCCCAAATGCAACCACCCGCTCTAATCTCCCCCCCACACACGCGCACCTCCTATCACCGATGCACCCCCTGATCGCGCCCATCATCAGCAGCTCTTGGAAGGACTCCAATGCGGCCACTGCCATGCTCCCCGCGCTCACCACTTCCGCTTTGCCCCGTCGCGGTGAGAAATCCGCGCCGGATCTGGCGCCGCTAGTCGCGCCGTGTTCCGCGCTGGGCACTGTGGCACCCGGCGGAAAATCAGCAGTTGCGGCGGCGGCGGCAACGGCAAGTCCAGGGGCGATTGAGGCTTTCTCGGCGGCGGCGGCGGCGCAAGCGGAAAGCAACGGGCGCAGCAGCGCTTCCGCCTCGACCGGCGGAATTTCGCCTCGCGAGCTATCGACGAGACATGACGTGTCAAACACAGTGTATGGAACTTCCCCTCCCCGCCTGCGACACGCACCGCACCTACCGCCCTCAGTACATCTCGAAGCAGCTCTGCTGTTTCCTGTAGCGTTCGCGCGGAACTGTGCGTGCGACTGCGCTTGTATGGAAGCCTTTCCTTGCTCCGCTTGTTCCTCCTCTTTCTCCTCAATCTCCTCCTCTCCCCTTCCACCCTCTCCAACCCCTTCCTCCTCTTCCACCTTGTCCTCCTCGTCTCCCTCCTCCTCGAACACAAGACGTCTAGCGATCGCCTTGTCCTCAGGGGACTCCGCCACACCGCCCAGACCACCGATAACAGCACTCCCTGCCGGCCGCACCTCGCAGTGTACATCGCAGTTTCTTTCACAGCTCCCAGCCTCGCAGTTTCCCGCTTTGTTTACCTCGCACCCCTCTGCACGGTTCTTTATGCCGGCGGCCGGCCTGTCGTGCGCTCTAACGGAATTGCTGTCGGGATCGTAACGGGCTGCAGGATCGGAACTGACGGACGTCGCATCGGCGACGCTGCTGCACGAATCTCCCACGTGGCTAACTAAAGCTGGAGCAGCACTGCCTGGATCCCCAATTTCCGCGTCTTCAGCTACTCTTACACAGCCTCTAGCCGAAGCGGCGGTTACTGTAACTGTATCTAATCTCCTCGAGGGGACTGAGGGGGTGCAAAAGCCGTCCGTGGTGCTTATTTCCGCGTCGTCAACCACCTTTTTACCGATACCAGGAGTTATAGGATTAGCGGTATTCACGGTTGTACCGGCGGCAATTGCTTCGTGAGAACTTGTCGCACCGGAGGCGGAGAGAAATCGCATGGCCGTGCGACATTCGGAAGCTACCTGGGAGTAGCGATCGCACGTGCATGCGACGTCCAGGGCGACAGTCAGAGCTGGTAAGACGACTGCATGGATGTCGCCTATAGAGTAACTCGAGGGACGAGTGGTGGTGATTGGCGTTAAGGGAACTAATGGCCATGGCAAGTCGTGGCCCTGTTGCTGCTGTGTTAGGTCGCTGGCTGTCATGATGAAGTAACTGTGTTCCTATGCTAGCTTCTCACGTTTCATAGTAATCTTCTCAATTTTCTGGTTAGAAGGACATGGACGCCTCTGACACAGACTAACATTAAACCTTGTACTCGTCGTTGTTGTATACGAGATGTGTGTTCTGACGACAAAAAATTGGGTGACCCCGAGCAACATGCCGCACACAGCAAGGTTTGAGGTCTTATTCAAAGTAGGCATCTAGCTAGAGCGTGGAGTGGACAGGAAGGGGAAAGCTAGGAAAGCTTATTCTGGAACTTGAGAATCGAAGGCATCAGCCAGCCAGCCACCTCTCCGACCAACCCAACCTCGAGGCGCCAATCGGTCATTGGGCGACGGATGCGCTCTCCTTGAAGATCGCATGGGTTGGTCGGAGAGGGTGAGGATGCGTGTGGGTCGGCGACCGAAGTATCTTCCCCCACCTTGCGTCATCCACGAGATTTCTCTCTAGTCGTTTGCCGTCGTAATGGTTTCGTTGGCGACGCGGCGAGGAAACCAAGGTCCCTCTCCCCCACCCCACCCAACAAACAATTCCAGTGTGCTGCCCTTGAAAGTGCCGCGACCGCTGGCGGAGGCGACGGCTCTGGAGGAGAGTGCCTTCGTGTTTGGCGCGTTGGGAAAGCTGATGCGTGGGTAGGGTCCGACTTTGATGGTCAACGTTCAAGACGCCCATGTGACATGGATGGGTGGGATCATTCGATGGATCGTGAATGAATGGTTGAGATGCAGGCAGTCGAGGTATAGATGGATGGCTTCCCTTCCCTTCTCTCGAATCGTGGAGCTTTTTGTGGACGCTCATGGCGTGGCGGGGACATCAAATGCAGCTTTTCGCTGATGTGGCAGTAACTGTATGTGGGGCAAGTGAGGGGCCTATTGATTCATCCTGGGGAAACTGGTTTTCTTATATGCATTAACCTTGTTCACGAATTCCAGTTCCTAACATCGTAATATGAGTTTCGCTAAACTCCTGAGACCACAAGTTTCCACCAAGGATTCTCCCCACGATTGATACCGACTCTGAGTTTACAACACCCTGATCCCCCTCCAACCATCGTGCACAGCTGCTCAGCTGAAGCAAGTATTGGAGCCTCATAGTGATACTTACTGCAACAATCCGGGGTAGTTCAAACAGTAGGGGATTTCCAACAGTTATTTCTGTTATATGCAAATGGAACGCACTAGGCTCGCGGCAAGGCCATCGAGAAAAAACGGTGACCCCTCCTTGACTGGTTGACGACCGTCGAACCGCGTGGTGGGAGCCCCTAGAGCGCAGCAGCTTGAAAATTTGCAGGCGCAAACCACATGAGACACCAACAGAGAGCTATGGGTAAAATTGTTGTAACGGTACAGCTCAATGTATCCATGAAAGTTGCACTATATTGTGCAGAGATTCATATGTGATGTGAATAATCATTTGGGTGGCACTAGATGATTTCTCATAATCGTCTAATACATAGCTTCAATTGGACCAATGGTCCGCCTCTACGTGAGGGCTGTTGATGCATAAATTCAACTCTGTTTCTGATCAAAGCACTTCAATTAGATGCACTACAACTTCACATTCCGCACTAGAAAATCAGTGACTATACCATAACAACCATACAGTACCAGTGTTCAAGATTCTCAAGTTACCTTAGACTGACCTGAAGATGTATACAGGGGGTTTCAGTAATGTTTAAGCCAGTTACAGCAGCATAAAGGACTAGTCCCTAAGTTAACGATATGTACAACCTAGCCTTGATCCACTTTGTACCTACATTAGAGAACCAGTTTCAGCCAACGTCACAGCTCATCCCTCACAAAAAGACGAGCTCAGGACGGGAGTCTATCCAGCACTAATGCAGAGAGCAGGCTAGCTCAAGGGACTGCAGTAAAGGTATTTTCCCCAGCATGTGGCATGGCATGTCCAGCCTAGATTCTCACAGACGGTCTGTCTGTCTGTCTGCTCCGTCACTTGTCCTCCCGCTTGGACCGTCGGAAGAAAGGTTACTCCTACCGTATCAGCCAGCCTGTGTCAGAACAGAAACCTCCATACCACAACACTCCAACTCACCCCACATCACCCATGCGCTCTCGGGTCCCAATACACCACACACTCCCTACCCTATAGCGGTGCAACAGCAATACCGCCTCCAGAAACCCAACCACACATACACTTCCACCCAACTGCACAACCTCCCCTTTCACCTGCACAACCTCCCCTTTCACCCGCACAACCTCCCCTTTCACCTGCACAACCTCCCCTTTCACCTGCACAACCTCCCCTTTCACCTGCACTCCCCCTCCCAAAACCTCTGCTCTCTGCATTTCCTTGTCCCCTCAGCACACAACCACAAGCACCCCTCCATCCCCCCACCACGCACATACGCACTCCTCCCTCACTTGCGGGCCACGCCCCTCTGTCTGAGCAGAGTCTCCCTCATCTCACTGAACCCAAACAGTTCATCCAACAGCGACTCTGCTGCCCTTGCTGGCCCCTCCGCCCCTTCAGCACCCAGTCCCCCCTCCACCACCTCTGCGCCTATCCCTCCACCCATCATCCCAGCAGCAAAAGGGCCGCCAACAAAGCCACCAGCAGCAGGAGAACCAGCAGGACAAGCAGCCCCAGTAGCAGCAGCAGCGGCAACAGGAAGAGTAGCGGTAACAGCTGGAGCAGAGAGAGGGGCCAAGGACGGCAGCGCAGCAGCCGCAACAGCAGAAGCAGCTGCCCTGGCACCTGTGGTATAAGGACTGCTGCGCCCACTGCCGCTGCCACTACGGCCACCAGCAGCAGCCGCAGCGCTGCCAGCACTGCCAGTGCTGCTGCAGGAGCTGCTGCGGGGGAAGGCAGCCCCGTATTGCGAGGGATTAGACAGAAACGTGCTGCCTGCACCGCCTACCGACAGGCCAGCAGCAGCAGCAGCAGAGGAGGAGGTGGTGGTGGAGGAGGAGGAGGAGGGGCGGAGAGGAGGCGCATAGCGCAGGACACGGATGAGCGCACCTACAGCAGCGTCACGTGAATCGCTCGACTCGCGTGCCCTGTGGGAATCCACCTGATGACTCTGAACGCCCGGCAATGCGCGGTTGACATCCTGGGAATGGCTGGAGTTGGATAGGGGGAAGGAAAAAGCAGGGACCAAAGGGAGGAAGAGGCGATGGAAATCAAGGATATGAGCCCTTTGAGGCAAACTCGGGAAGATCTCGCAATAATGTTGCCAGAGAAGTGGTGAGTGTATATAAGATGTAACGGCATCGTTTTCTAAGAGGAAGAACAAAGTGAATGTTAGAAGACTGATCTGGTTCTGGGAACCAGCAGGTTGTTTGCAAGTCTCTCCTGTTGCATGTGAATGCCTGGTTGATCGGATGCCCTTCAGTGAACCGCAAACAGACGATTGGTTTTCTAGTTTTCCTTACATGCTGACTGTCTCCCTTCATCATGTCTCCACGCGACACCATGACATTGACATGAGCAAGGGCACAACTCACGAGCGCAGGCAGCAGCACAGCAATGCACGCGCGCACACACACACACACACACACATACACACACACACCTCGCAAGGGCTTCAGTGGGCAAGGGCTCGTCAGTGTCATCGTCGTCCACAGCAAAGGGCAGCAGCAGGTGCCCCTCCTCCTCCTCCTCTACCCCACTACCTTCCGGAACCGGTGCCCTCGATGCCTGGTGCTCCCACCCCTGCACAACGGGTCAGGAGATGGATCGAGGGATCAAGAAAAAGGATGGGTTGGGAAGAGACGGATAGAAGGGGGGAGGGAGGGAGGGATGGGGTGTACGGGAAGGCGAGAGAAAAAGAAGGGAGGGAGAAGGGAATGGGCGACTGGAACCCACCATCCATGCCCCCACCATCCATGCCCCCACCATCCATGCCCCCACCATCCATGCCCCCACCATCCATGCCCCCACCATCCATGCCCCCACCATCCATGCCCCCACCATCCATGCCCCCACCATCCATGCCCCCACCATCCATGCCCCCACCATCCATGCCCCCACCATCCATGCCCCCACCATCCATGCCCCCACCATCCATGCCCCCACCATCCATGCCCCCACCATCCATGCCCCCACCATCCATGCCCCCACCATCCATGCCCCCACCATCCATGCCCCCACCACCCATGCCCCCACCACCCATACCCCCACTACCCATGCACCCACCACCCATGCCCCCACCACAGCACACGGGTCTCACCAGATGGGTACTGCCGTAGGAATGCGGTCGCCCACTGTCACGCCCCTCCATGCCCCCCTCTCTTGCAATCCCGCCTCTCCCCCTCTCGCCCCACGCACCTTCCCCTCCTGCTCTTGCTGCCTCTGCACTTCCCACAACCCCTCCAATCTGCACCCCACCGGCGCCCATATACCCCTGGCCAATGCTCTGCGCGGATGACCCAGCAGCCGGAACAGCAGCAGCACCACCGCCTGCTGCTGCAGCAGAGGCAACAGAAAGAGCAGCTGTAAGAGCCGAAGTTCCATTGCTAGGCTTCACCCCTCCATTACCTGCTGCTCCTGCTCCTCCTCCTGCTGCAACCCCCACACCTGCGGACACCGGTTGCTGCCAAGTAAACCTGGGAACATGTATCGCTGCTTCCACTGCTGCCGGCACGGCATGGAACGCCGGGGGGAACCCAGCAGCAGCAAGCCCGCCACCAGCAGCTGCAGGGGCGGAACAAGGGCGCCAGGAGCCTTGCCGATTGGAAAACAGCTCCTCACCAGCAACACCACCAGCGCCCATACCCACACCCACGCCCACGCCCACGCCCATACCCATACCCATTCCGCCTGGCCCTACCACGGTTCTCCCTGCATGCGTAATGGCAGTAGGGGCGACTGGTGCAGAGGGTACGAGGTGAGGCGCGGGGGAAGGGATGAGGAGGGGCGGGGTGTGGTGCGAGGGGAGGAGGGGAATAGGGCCTCGTGCGGGCGCCCATGGCAGCAAATTACCACTGGCTCTAGCAGTGAGAGTCGCCTCAGCAGTGTGGGCTGTGTGACCTGTGTGGGGTGTGTGAGAGGTGTGACCAGCTGTGTGGCTTGTGTGGGTGTACACAGGGGGCATACTAACAGCTCTAACGGGAACTGGTATCCCAGACACGAGCACTGCTCCGCCCACTCCTCCCACTCCCCCCACTCCTCCCACTCCTCCCACTCCCCCCACTCCTCCCACTCCTCCCACTCCCCCCACTCCTCCCACTCCCCCCACCCCCCCGCCTCTGGCCCTTGATGCTTCCTGACTGTCACTCCCGTACCCTCCTCCTCCGCTCTGCCCACCGCTGCTACCCCCCGCGCCAGCGCTAGCACCAGCGGCACTCACCCCACTGCCTACCCCGCTGCCTGCCCTGCTACCTACCCCCATCCCACTGCCCCCTCCCACGCTGCTTCCGCAGCTGCTGCTGCTGGCGCTGCTGGGATGGAACGTGCTAGAGGGGCGACGGGGGATGATCTGTCCGCGGGAGTTGATCTTGGGAATAGACACAGGCGCGCTCGGGAGGGACGGGAGGCTGGGCGCGCGGGCGAAGGGCGCGGAGGGGTGGTGCGGGGGGTATGGGGACGGGGGAGGGGAGGGGGAGGCAGAGAGGTGGTGATGGTAGTGGTCGTAGGAAGAGGGATGGCTGGGGAGAGAGGAGGGATGGTGGGGAGACGAGGAAGAGACAATCGGGGGGAGCCTGTGGCGATGAGACAGGCCTTGGTAGTGCTGCTGCTGCTGCTCGAGGTGCGCTTGCTGATAGTGCGACACCTGCTGCTGCTGCCGTTGCCCGTCCAGTGGTGCTGACGAAGCAGAGGTTGGCCGTCCCGCTCCCGCCTCCTGCCCTGCTGCGCCTTCCACCCCGCTGTCGTCCTGCTCCTGCTCGTAGATCGTGATGGGGCGTGCGAACACGTGAGACGACGGAGACGACGACAGAGACGGGGGCGAGATCCCACGGTAGAAAATCGGCACCTGATACCCTCCCATACCCCCCATGCCTGCTGTTCCTGATACCGCTGCAGCCGCTGCCGCTCCTGCTGCTGCTCCTGCTGCCGCGCCTGCTGGTGCTGCTGGTGCTTCTTGTATCATCCCTATTCCTGCACTGCCCGCTCCTGCTGCGGCTGCCGTCCCACTGGCCGATCCCGACAGCCCAGTACCAATCAACGACCCAGCAGACACGGCGGACCTTACCCCCATGACTCCCCTCCCCCCGCTGCCGCTCCCCCCGCTGCTGCTCCCCCCGCTACCACTCCCTCCCGCAAACCCCGCTGTTCCCGCTGCTGCCCCTGCGCCCACTCCCCCGCCGCCGCTCTCCCCGCCCCCCGCACCCACGGCCGCGGAGGCGGAACGGCCCACGGCGGATCCGCGCCTCTCCTCCATCCCCCCGAAACTGTGCCTGCGCGCGAACATCACCAGCGCGCGCCCCGCGGCCGCGGCGGCGGAGGGGGACGACAGAGACGAGAACTGCGCGGCGGAAGACGACGGGAGGGACGAGGGGGAGGACGAGGGGGACGGGGAGGGGGAAACAAGCAAGGGCAGCCCCGCGAGCAGACCATACGCTCTTCGCGAGAACGGGGACCAGGAAGACGCGGAGGAGGAGAGCGAGGAGGAGAGGGGGAGGGACGCGGGGGGAGCCTGGTAGTGCCGGATGGGGCGACGGTGGTGCGGCGGTTCTGCTACAGACCCGCCCGTACCCACGTAGTCTGTGATCACTCGCGTGATCACAGGAGGTGCTACCTCTACAGCAGATACCACCGACGCTGCCGCAGCAGCCCCGGGTCTATACACCACAAAGACAGACATGCGCCCGCCGGGGAGATCTAACGGTTTCAGCGCCCACGAGTTCATTCCGGATTGGGATGCGCCTGATCCGACGGCGGACGACGCGGCAGCTGCGTCCGCGAGCGCGGCGGCGGGGTTGGGGGAGATGCGGAAGGCGAGCGCGAACGTGGGGCGGAGTGCGGAGCCGGAGGTCAGGATAGGCGCGGGGGAGAAGGAAGCGGCGGCGCCAGCGCCAGCGGCGGCGGCGGCGGAGGAGGAGGAGGAAGAGGAGGAGGAGCAGGAAGCAGCAGAAGAGGAGAGAGCAGCGTCAGCCAGGGAGCAGTAGAGGCGATATGCGGGGAGAGTGCGAGTGAGGGAGTAGAGGGAGCGAAGCATAACGACCATGTGCTTGTACACCACTGGTATATCCACCGCTCCGCCTCCCCCTCCGCCTCCCCCTCCGCCTGCGCCTCCGCCAACCCCGCCGCTTCCTGCCCCTCCCACTCCCCCACCAGCGCCAGCAGCGCCATCACCCAACTCCACACCACCGCCTCCGCCTCGCCTTCTCTCGTACCGCACCACCCACCGCTCCAACAACAGCGGCCCACTGCCACCACTACTCACCCCCCCCCCACTACCACCACCACCGCTACCAGCAGCAGCACCGGGAGCACCCGCCGAGTCCCGTCGCCCTGCTCCAGACTCGCCCAGCCCCGCAGCTTCCATCCCAGAGCCGGAACCACCGAACGGCGATCCCACACCAGAACCGGTCCCGAGAGAAGCAAACGCTGCAGCGGCAGCGTCAGCAGCAGCAGCAGCAGAGGCAGCAGCGACGCTGGCGCCTGAGCCGGACGCAACCCCTGGGGCGGACAGCCTTATGAACGCTTCCGGGGAAGGCCCGTGCTGGCGCAGGCTCCTACTGCGGGACGCGGGGCCCGCTCCCGCGCCTGCCAGCGCTACCTCCCCGCTCAAGCCTCCCCCGCCACCTCCTGCGGCTGCTCCGGTTGGCCCATACGCGGGAGCGGAAGGGGGAGCGGGCGAGTGCGCGTGAGAGTGGGAGTGAGGATGGGACGAGGATGGGGCGCGAAAGGAGTGGGAAGAGAAGGAGGTGGGTCTGTCAAGTAGTATGTCGATCACTAACGGCTCTACCGGGAAACGGCGCCACCCATCCACTGCCTCCATCACAGCCGCTCCCTGCTGCAGCTCAAGATTGAACCAGCGGTCGGAAATCGACGGCGGTGGCGCGGGAGTTGCTGCTACGCCGGCGGCGATGGCGGCGGCGGCGGCGGCTACCCCCGGAGACGGGGAGGACGGGGAGAACGACGACGGGAAGGGCGCGGAGGAGAAAGACGAGGAAGAGGCGGGGGAGGGGGAAGCGGAGGCCGCGCGATGGCTGCTGCTGCTGCTGCTGCTTCCGCTGCTCGTGAGACTCCCAGTCCCACCCCCACCCCCCCCGGTTGCTATATCAGCAGCAGCGCCAAACCCAGCGTGGCGCGGAGAAGGGGAGGGAAGGGGCGAAGGACCGGAGAGGCCAAAGGCTGAGTCGAGATGCTGCTGCGCGCCTGCGGTTGCGGTTCCGCCTGCGCCTCCGCCTGCGCCTGCGCCAACGCCTGCCGCTGCGGGTGCTGCGGGTGCATGAGCAGCGCACGGCATCCGCGAGTCGAGGATGATGTGTAGGCTCTTGGCGAGGAACTCCGATACTATCTGGTCCATGCGCGCGCGACTGCTCGACACCGCCGACGACGACGACGACGCCATGCCTGCTGTTGCTGACTGTTTGGCTGTGCCACTAAGGCTGCTGCTGCTGCTGCTGCTGCTGCTGCTGCTGCTTCTATTGCTGTAGAACTTCCTGCTGCGAAGCTGTATTACAGACGTCGCACTGGGAAGAAATTGCTCTCGAAAACGTTCCTTGCACCAGCCCTGCACCTATAGTTACCTCGTCCCTGTACCGGACGCTGCTGCACAGCCTTAATGAACTTCCAAGCCGCCTTGTCTACTCCCGCCGAAGCAGGTGAACGTAGAGGCAATCCGAAGCAGGTGAACGTTGAGCTAACGTCGCCTTAGCACACAGGAGAGATGCGGCACGAGGCGCGGAGGAATCCTATGGAATCCTACACAACGTTGGATGCGCCGAGGAGGAAAAAGGAAGAAGACAACAGGTATCCGCGCGCGCCTAACGCCGAATAAAGAGAATGAATGTTAGGTCAGGCGGTTCGGCTAGGTCAGCAGTCAGCGCAAACTCTTCGGCACAGTGACGCGGCAGTACAGTCGCGAAACGCTCCCTAGAGTACAAATGAAATTACTGCGTCCAGCTGAAGCCGCCGCGATCGGAGGAACCGTAATCGTAACTGGGGCGCTCCGAATCAAAGGAAATGACGACGGAACGGGAACTAAAAACTCCAAGGTGAAACCAAGAGAACGTTGCGAGTAAAGTTGGCACCCAGGCAGTAAAAGAAGCCTGAGATGACCTGCGGTAGCAGGAGAGGAAGGCGACACGGGAAAACGACGGCAGGACGGGGAGGAATGAAGGCAGGAAGCGGGGAAGGAGAGGGGAAAGCAGGATAACCGTGAAGGCACCGAGGAAGGAGAGGCGAAAGCAGGATAACCGTGAAGGCACCGAGCAGAATACAAGGAGGATGAACTTTCAAGAAATCTCCACATAAATAGCGCATAAATAGGCACTGCTTCAAGGGACTTGCAGAGAGGTTCAAACTGAGGGAGGTGACACTGAAAGCAAAAGCAACATCGGCATCAATAACACTCGACCCTACTAAGGAGTTCAATCAAGGGCAACGAAAGCCGACAGGATCCGAGTTCAGAACCAAAAGCTCCCACTCAACTCACTGCGAGCAAGTTAAGAAGGCGAATTCGCATGCACACGCCAAGACTCTTTCCCGCGCATGAAAGTAAAACGTGAAGATTGGGATATCGGCGCTGCACCTGTCACTCACCCTGCTGTATCAACTTAAACTGGAGCGCTGCTAGCACTGCACGCCCTGCACGCACTGCAAACACACCCGCTAAGACCACCGGACGGACTTCGAGGAATCCCTGGCTTCAAACATCCGTCGCCAGTCAGTCGCTTCCGGCACGGAGCGTTGCGTTGCGTGTCACGCGGCTCCCAGGAGTCGCTGCAGCTGCTGGTGCCGCCCGTGCACTCTGCGAGCCAGCGACGAGCGCGCCGTGCCGTGTTCCGTCGCAGCGTAAAATACGGCGTTGACGCTATCAGAGAAGTGAGATGAGGATGTAAAGTGGGGCGGGAAGGGGGATGAGGAGGAAGAGCCGGAATCGTCAGCAGGTGCGTTGCTCTGCCGGCAACGAGGGAACGACGAGTCTGGCGGTGCAGCTGGCAGTTCCCTAACCTTGTGCCACAAAGTCATGTGCGCAAGGCGTCGATCGCGGCACGCAGCGAGGGCTTTCCGAAGGCTCGACACGACAGCGACACAACGGCACGACGGGGATGTGCGCAAGGGTCCGTGTTACCCCGGATTCGCGACAAACGCATTCGCGGGAAAAACGGGAGGAAGGTATGTACGTCGGAAAGTGCTGCTGTTTTTTGTACAAAAAGGTGATCAGCGCAACGTTCGAATAAGCTAGGAACGGGGGGAAAGGCTGAAGCGGGCTGTGTGATAAGAGGCTGTTAGAGCTCCATCCTTATCTCCGGTCCACACTGTCAGCAGACAACACATCCAGAAACACTAAGTTCAAGCAGGTTTGGTTTGGTGCTCTGCGCCGTCTACACTGCAGCACATCACACCACCCTCACGGCTGACACGGAAGCGCCACTGGAGCGGATGCGTTGATAGGATGGATGATGTGAAGATGACGGAGCGACACGCTGGGGAGAGGAGGAGCACATGTGTGGATGGCGTGGGTTGAGAGAAACAAGCAGCGGGGGGGGGAGCAGCGCGGTTCAGAATGGAAGAATGGAACAAAATTACAAACCAAAGCAAGCCAAACCAAACTAAGAATCAGGACTCTAGAGGGGATGTGGAGAGGTGAGTAATGGAGGTCAGGGGTGGCTTGGCTAGAGTCACTGGTGCTGAGCAAGTGAGGGTAAAGCTCGTACCGATACGGTTCAGGTGGTTTGATTCTGGTTTGAAACTGATATTTTGAATTTCAGGCGGTTGGGTGGGCTTTTGAGGGAAAATAAAACTGCTGCTTATGCGACACCTTCGAAGCACTGAGCCACGAGCCGTTGGGGATGTGGTTGGGATAACCGCGCGTGGAGTTGTATTGGATGACGATTTGTAGGGTTCGCGCGTCAGCTGTGGCACGGAAACTATAGCGAACCTGTTTGTCAGGTTGGGCCTAGCCGAGTGATTGGCCCAAGAGGGAAGTCTGGAAACCCGCCATGTCAGTCAATGCGCCCTTGCTTCCTTGATGAAACCTGCCTCCACCACAATCTAGGATTGCGTGCTGAGTTGAAGCAAGCTCTGATGATTGGTGCGTTACCTTCCTGGCTTGGAGAAAAACCACTGTACATGAGCGCAGAATGATATCCAAGAGTCAGGCACTTGGCGCGCAGTTTAAGCCTTCAGACGCAGAACCCTCTTCGTGGCTACTGCTCATTGGCCGACCATTAGGCTCGTGGTTGAGAGCCCAAAGTCATATGTGCACGCAGAACCCTTGAAGATAGGAAGCCACAAGGGCGGTGTTCGCCAGCACATCTAAAAAAAGGAAGGCCACGGAATGGCCGTGGAATCACGAACCAGAGGAGGAACCTCCCGAATAGGTGTGGGGGGAATGGCCAAATCGCGAAATTTCGCGCCAGAAAGGGGAAGGGTGGCAACGGGATCAGGAACCACCCTCCCCACCTTCCAATTCCCCGTTCCCCCCCTCCACATCCTTCCAATCCCATGGCCATTCCAAGGCAATTCTGCTTGGGGGGGTGAATGGCGATGGAATGGCAACGGGACCAACGTTTGCCTGTAGAGGAAGCTCCCGACCCACTTTCCTACCTTCACGATTCCATTCGAAATGAATGAAAAGGAGGGCGTTCGACAGGACAACATGATTCCGTTTGGTTCGGACGGGATCACAGGCTCGGCAAGAATTTCGTGGGCTGACCTGCTTGACGGACCCTAACGAACCCTAACGGACGGGATCAGGAAGCCGAGACTAACCTTCCTGATCCCGTCATTTTTCTTGTTAAAAGTGTTGGCGAACAACGCCAATGTCGCAATGCTCGCCTTGCACTTTTCTCACGAAGAAGGTTCTCCGCTTTAGTAAAAGCTCGGAAAACGCTGATCCTCGATCCATCCGCTTTCTCCCTTACAGGGGCTGGTGACAAGGGACCTCTAGCCCCTTATTTGTGCTCGACCCCAGCATCCGAAACTCCGAGGCCCGTTCGACCATGCTGGATCGACCACAAATCAGGGGCTAGAGGTCCCTTGTCACCATCCACACTCACTCAGCAATTGTTCCCAAATTCGCCCCTGCCATGAGTATCAAGTTGCCATCATTTTTGGGCACCTTCCTACGTGTGATATGGGCCCAGTTCGGCAGCCACGAAAGAAGGACGGAAGAAAATGTTTCCCGTCTTCACCGAAGCTTCTAATCGCATTGTCGAGGGCAAAACAGTGCGGGCTGTAAGGTAAAACTTTCTGAAATCAAAGCGCAGTGTTTAGCAGCAGCGACGCGAACACCACCTAAAATTGATTCCGCGCTGTCTTTTGTCCATATTCTCCCCCCCTGGCAGAAAGCTTCCGCCCTAGTGAGACGGAAGAAAAAAACGATTCTTCCAAAATACAAGAATCAACTTTTTGATTCCAAAAGAATCACTGTTCACGGGACAACATTACACCAAAAAAGGAAAAGGGTTAATGCACAAAAAACTTTACTTCAATAACGTGGGGCGGTTACCCCATTTTTCGTTTGGGGCGAGCCCGCTACAATGCCCAAGAACATTCGAATGTCCAGGCAAATGGGCCTGGACATGCGGTGGTGTTTTAAATCTTCCCCCTCCAACCTGCGCCAGCTCCCCCACGGCGCAGGTTGTCCGTGGAGCAGTCAATCCGGGGTCAAAATTCGTTGACCCTGGGTTGACGCCCGCCTTACCTTCGCCTCATCTTCCTCACATTTTCTTTCCGCGTGGTTGCCGAACTGTATGAAAGAACGAGGAATGAATGAACTAGGAAACAGTTGGATACAAATGTGAAACCCTAGAAACCTGTACCCCTTAGAGTCTACCCCACTACAGCCTACACAGGCTAAGTCATATATATCTGACACACCCCCATAGGCAAAGTGGGGAGAACTAGGGGTCACAAGATCAGTCAAGCAAAGCAAAACAAAGCAAGCTCAGGGTGGATCACAACGTCACCACACAGTCCGAGCATAGGTTCAAGGCCACAAGGCCAGTTCACATGCAGGAATATATATAAAGGTAAACAAGCAAGTGCAGGTATAAATAGAACACAGTACAAGCAAGGTCAAGAAGTGAGCAAGTGAGGCCAAGTAGGCACAAGACCTAGCATCGTACAGAAGCGCTGATGATCACAAGGCTGAAGTGCCTTGGTAAAGATATCAGCAGTGTTGGCCCGAGAGGCCACGTAAGCAAGGCGCAGCTGACCACGCTGCTGCAGCTCACGAGCTAGAAAGTAGCGAAGAGCAATGTGCTTCGTTCTGTGCTCCAATCTGTGCTCCCGACACAAGGCCAGCATGGCCTTGTTGTCTACGTACAGAACTGGAGGAGAACGAGGCGGCTCTCC